CCTATAACCCTCAACCCTTCTGGTATCTGAGAACGTTTTGTGATAGCCACACTGAAAAAATCATTTGTCTACCTTCAGTATGAGATAATATTTTCTCTGGTTCAGCTGATAACAAAATAAGGGTAAAAAGTAAATGTAAAAGATTGAGAATGTTATGAATGAAATAATCAAATTGTTTTGCATTTTCAGGTGTGGGATCTCATGAGATTTCAATGTAACATGATCCTAACTCTACACACAGATAGTGTCACATCACTTTTAGTTTGGGGTGATTATGTGTTCTCCTCCTCCTTGGATGAAATCATAAAAGTTTGGACATGTAAGTTCCACTTATCCCCATTCTTTTCATATCAACAAACACAACTCTTGGTAACTAATTGTTTTGTTGAGGTTTGAAACAGAATTGACATGCTCTTTGTGGTATGATTGAAGGAGAGGCTACACATGTCATATGCTGCTCAAACCAAAGTGGAACTGTCAACCTCTATATCTACAATGATGGAAGGTTAGTAAACCAATGTTGTATTATAATCGTAATTCATGTTTTCATTGATTGTAATAAAATATGTTTTTATGTGATATAAGTTCATCCGAAGAGACAGTCTACTCCGTAGCAACCGTCAACATTTTGTTATTTGGTGCACAAAATTTGTTTTTCACTGGAGGAAGAATGGCATGTTTAAGGCATGGAAGAGGAACGTCTTTGGCGGAATGTAAGATTTCAACAAAAAGATCTGTGTATTCTGCAAAAGAAATCATTCTCTCTCTCATATATATCCATCGGTGATGACAATTAGAGTTGGGATTATAAACCAAACAAACCAAAGGAATTTCCACAAAGTCTCATCTCATCTGTTAATTTATCCATCTAAGTTTTACTTAATTGATTAGTGCATATGTTAACAATATTTTTTTTTGTCAAAGTCAATAGTCAACGTCAGTACGTCTGATGAAAATGTGGTTATAAAGCTAGCCATGAAGTCGTGTTTTTGAAAATAAAACGGTTCGGCAGTAGAAAGGAATACAACATTGTGGATTAACGCAAAAGGTTAAAAAGGATTAAAGGGACAATTCATGATTATGGGACTAGCATATATGTTTGATCTTCTTGTTCTGTAAAACTCATTCATATATGACTATCATGACGCGTTATGATTAATTATGTTTTTAAGTCTTTACCTTAATGTTTTTATTGTGATGGGTCATATGACTTTTTCTGTCCCTGGTGATGGATCATATGAATATAGTATGCAAACGTGATGTAAAAAAAGAAAAAAGAAAAATCTAGTTCTGTTCAAGAAAGGTAATATATAAATATAGCAATTTTGCCAACAAACTTTTAGAGAATCCTTTTTACGATGTCAATATCTTTTTTGTTATAAAATTATAAACAAACAGAAAATTAAAGAGTCAAAACAGAAAAACAAATTGTTGAAATTTTACTCTTTCTTTTTATAATATAATATTTTATTCGATATAATTTTTTTGTTTATTATTAAATATTATGTGACCAATTGTCACCTTTCCAGCAAGGGGACAATGGGGGCCTTCAAAGTAGCAGCCTGTCGCCACTATTGACGTCTCAGAAGTTCAGTCTCGTAAGTATCATTGGCTCTAAATTGAACACGAAAGCATATTTAAGTATTTCTTCTAAAAGAGGAAAAGTAGCGAACATTTCCTTCAGATTTTGTTCGGTAAATAGATTCAAGGAGCCGAATCAAAACCCAAGCATGAAGTTGTGTGTTCTCGGTTTATGAACTCACATAAATGGGCCTAAGCCTCCAAAACTAAACATTTTTTACCAGGCTTTATATTGATCTGGATTGCTTCATTTCCTATAAGGCTCAAGTTTTTGTTTGTTTGCTGAAGATGTGGTTGGGGTGCACTTAAGGGTTATGTATTTGGTTGAGACAGTTTCCTCAATCTTCCCGGTTTCTTTTCTTATTAAAGGTTTGTGATGACTGATGATCAGTTAGATCAAAATCACATACTCTTTTTTTTTGGTTTGTTTCTGAGACAATCTTTATTTCTATGCATTTGTAATAGTTTAGATTGAATACAACTCAAGGAGCGTTTTAGATTCTTGAATGGGGGTGGTAGATTCTAGTGCAGTGTCAATTGAGAAAACGATTGTGCTTCTGATCTTCTTATCAGCTGCTGGTTTTGAAGTCTCACTAACTACTCAACCTGAACCTCTGCTCTTTTTGAGTCTTCTACAAAAAGTTTAAGCCACTGGTGGGTCGACGCTTAGACGTTTTCGGCTGGATCCTTTTATTGAAGCGGTTTGATACGGCTCTTTTCACTATAGAAACTGGAGTGCCAAGTTCTCTACACTAAAACTTGTGTTGATTCGTCTTCTGGTTGTCGCTGTCTTTATGTGGAAGAATTTATTTATAACGTTTTTAATTATGTAATGTTTCGTATAGTTCCTGCCTGTATCACTTTTTAGTACTTTACATACTTCAACCCTGTTTTAATAAAGATACATTTTGGTAAAAGTCCATGTAATCGAGGAAAAGATCATATATAGGATCATCGCTTTAATTAGAAAGACATTGTTTCGGTAAACTGGTCCACATCAAGATATCTCTAGCAAGATATGCTGCTAGTCTTTGAAATGAGATATAGTCACATCCGTAGACTTTTCGATTTTGGGTTTTTAACAAACAAGTATAATTCGTGGTTCACTGCAAATCTTCAGTTTTTACATTCTTCAAGACGTGTTTCTATAATCTATGTCTTTAATCAAAAGAAATCCAAATATACGATATAAATTATATCAGGATAAAACATAACAACATAACGTTGTACTTGATAACTAATAAAATCTTTGTCTGCCCTCCTCCTTCAACAAGTGAAATAAATTAGAAATAATATCATGGAGTAGCTCAGTATGCTGTGTCACGTAAGATGTTACTAGTATTTAAAATCATTTAGTCGTATACAATACCCATATGTGAATTCTATACTCTCTTTTTCGCGAAGATAAATTGTTAGATACTATTAATATATAGTTTATTTTAATAAAGTCAATCAAAAATAAGAGTTAGCTGTGTTTATTTGTTTTTCTCTGTAAGCCAATCTTCATTTCACGTGACTTTTTTTCCACCCGAATCTTTTAGATTGGAAAATAAATACAGTAGACCGGGAAAACTAATGAACACATATAGTCCGGTGGGACAAAAGATCTTTATAATAGAATAAGAAAATTACAAAGTGGACAGATATATGTAGAAAAAAACATAACATTAGATAGAATTATAGATTAACGTAAGCAGCAGGAACACTTCCCCGTTCCATGGACTAATACTGGTAAACTGGTTCTTAATTTCTGCTAGTAAATACGATACATTTAGCTTTATTATTAATGTAATAATGTTTTATTTTATTTTAATTATATGTGATTTATGTAAACCAGAACTATCCTAATATTAGGATATTAAATGTAAGTTTCGCTTGATATGTTTTATTTTGCTTTTTTGTTTGCAGCTTCCCTTCCTAAGTAGAAGAAAGATGTCAACTAAGTCCTCTTTACAGCAAATGTGTGTATGACACGTGTAATTTATGGTTTGTAAATCGGAATTATCCTATTGTTAAAATCAATACTATTAAAAGAGAATGAGTCTAAAAAAATCTACGTATACAAGTTATTTGGACCTTTTCACTAGATTTAATTATTTAATAGTCTTGCCTTATATACTTCTAACAGTTAGAATGTTAATATATACCATATTATACCCAGTTTTTACTCCTTTCGCCAGTTAACCATAAAATGAACCGAAATTGTCTATAAGAATACCTTAGTAAATCTACTAATTTATTAGACACAGTTATTTGGTCGACTAAAACATTAGCAAGACTATATAATTCCTACGAACCACCAACGACTTCTAAACGTATCTCATTAATCTCAAGATTAAAATGTTACCTTCTCTACCTTACATCTCAAGATTAAAACGTGACCTTCTCATGTTGACCTTACATGCCAATGATCAAATTTTGTCTATTAAAATGATCATGGTCCTTGGATGTCTCATTCTTTAAGAGTTTTGAATGTCATAAATCACATATTGGTTTCACTGAACAAAAACAACAAAAATGCTCATAGAAATAGTGAATTTCAACAAATTAAGGTTGACGACAAAAAGTTTTTTGCAGAAAACCTTAAAAAAACTGCAAGAAAGATGATAATGTGATTACCATTATGCCATTTATTTAATAAACGGAAAAAATGTGGTCCTGCTATTTATGAGAAGTACTGGGCTTAGACAAACCTATTTACCACCTGATCACGTAAAAGATTTTAACAAAATCTATTAATAAAAATACGTAACATAAATACAATATATTTAACTGAAAAATCAAATAGTACTATATAATATATGAGAGATTTAATCATTTAAAAAAAAATTATCAGAATTTTTGGTTTTTACTAGATTCACGGATGTTGATTCACGGGTTATCAAAATTTTAATTAATGAGGTTTTGTTAAATCCAAATTTTGTGGAAACATATTAATTGCTAGAACCTTTAATAGATTGCTGAATAACATAAGCAAAACTGGTTTATATATGATCGCATATCTGGATCGAATAAATGTAGCTATATCTATACACTATTTTATATAGAAATTTCTATTAAGTTTTTGAAAATATACTCGCGCTTTCTGAGCGCGGGTTAAAATCTAGTTATATTTAAAAAAAATTGAATGCAAGTTTGTCTTCATTTTTCTTATTTTGAAGCTTAAATCATAAGTTCCAGTGTTAAAAAAAAAGAAGCTTAAATCATAAGTAGATGTAAATTTACACGTTGGTGTGAACATGAGGAACTTCGAGAAGAAGTTTAATCCTCACGTAGGCATCTCCTCTCATACTTCTCTATATAAACCTTTGCATGGCTAGCTTCACAACTACAACATAAACAAAACACACACATATATCATATACATTCACAGCAAACACATATATACACGTACATCTACTTAATTAAACAGGCTAAAGATGAGTTCCAGAGGTGAAGGTTCTAACTCTACGGCGGACAGGAAGGTGACTAAAGAAACAGCGAGTGTGATCCCCGTTGGAAGAAAGTTGGTTAAAACCATGGTCTTGAAAACCATTATCTCTGCCTTCACCATCCCATGTGGTAATGATCAGGGCTCTGAGCCTGCCGGCGACGGCAATGGTTACCGTGACGGAGGCCGCGTGCATCCTAGTCGCTGATCGGTCCTTTTCTTGGGGCTGAAGATATATGTGATGCTGTTGTGACCTTTCTTGGGGTTTATTTTTTTCCTGCTTTTAGTATATACATATATAAGGTGGTGTTCTTATGGTCTAAGTTATTGGTAACACTGCGTCTTTTAGTTTTTATTAAGCTTAAATAAAATGTTTGTATTGTTTCCGGTAGGGGCTGGTGATGTTTATGACAAGACAAGTTGTGATAATTATGATCGGTTGTGTTAATGATATTACTATTAAAACTGTATTCTTTCTGTTATAATCATTTTGATAGTTTCTAACTAATTTTGTGATTTCATATACCACCGTCCTGTCTAATTTAACTAGCTAGTGCTTAGCATGAAGTCAAATTGGAGCAATATAAAATGCTTTTGACCAGGCTTGTTTCTTTATGTGTGGAATTATGGAAGCATATGGGCTTTTGTTGTATTCTTCGTCTGTAGTAGGTATATATGGACATAATTATTAATTTTTGATACATTTGTGCGTGTAAATGATTTTGTTGATGAAATCTTTGACGATTATAGATAGGGAAAGTGAAACCAATCACAAACTAAGGTCAATGCCATGTTGTGCATAATAATGACAATTGTACTCTCAGTATATTTACATATTGATGTGATTATTATAAACACAAAATGTTATCAACGCTAAATTATTTATTTATTTTCCTCAATTGTTTTCTCTCTTTTTATGTTCTAAAAGAATCATTCTCTCCTCTCTAATAGTAATACCCATCAGTGTTACCAGTTAGAGTTGGGGTTATATACCAAACAGACTAAAGAGAGTAAAATGTTTGTAAATTTACGGGGGTTTTCTTCAAAAAAAACGTTACAATTGAAACCTCCCTATTATATAGTACTGTTTTAGAAAAAACTTTAATATGAATTACCTACATACCCACAAAATGAAATGGTATTTGGCTAATGTTCATGGGGGATGGGACTGAGCAAAATAAGCCAGGAAGATAAAAAAATATATACTTATGGCTTGTATCTAGGATAAAGACAACAAAAGAAAACTATATGGAAAAATACACACGAGCATAGCAAAAGCATATGATAAAAACATGATGTAGTTTAGAATAAGATGAGACTTTGTGGGAACAAACAAGTGTGTATGAACACAACTATAAGTTGATTAGTTCTTATTGTTCAGTGAATTCTTATCTATTGATTTATCCTTTTAAGTTTTAATTAATTGATTAGTGCATATTTTATGAAAATCTTTTTGTCAAAGTCAATAGTCAACAGTCAATGTCAGTGTTTGATGAAAATATATAGTTATAAACTTAGCTATGGATTCGGCAGTAGAAAGGAATAGAACGTTGTGGATTGATGTAAAATGCCAAAAAAGGCGAGAACACTAAAGAGACAATTCATGATTATGGACTAGTATGTTTGATCCTCTTCTTAACCACACTGTTATTATCGTCATGGATCATATGATTTTATATTTGAATATAGTATGCAAGCAAGTGTCATGTCTCCTAAATTAAGAAGAAAGTGGAGACTGGAAAGATATTTGGATGTACGGACAGGAAATAATTATCCAATAGGTCTCAATAAATTAACTTCGCGAATAGAAAATGAATATTTTTGGAAACTTACTCATACTTACGTACAAGAACACATTCCAACTTATCTTTACATTAAAAGACACATTGCTAAATTGACATACATTATGTTTTCAACTGTCTTTTTTTGGACGAAAAAGGTCTTATCTCTGTATAACTACTAGTTGGTTTACAAAAGCAATTGAATAAATAGAGAGAGAAATGTAATTTTTTTTCATTTCTTCATTTAAAAACAAATTTGTATGCCCCCTAACATATCTATCATCATTGTTTCATAGTTTGAATATATAAAAATATATAAATATATATGTATAAAGTAATATACTTTTTTGTCATTTTGATATCCGATCCATATGTATAGATATTATTTTTGATTAAATTTTATTATTAATTTAATGGATAATGTTTTTGTGGATGCATATTATGGTAAAAAAAAGTTATGAAGATATTCTGAAAAAAGATCTGACAATTTTAGGTTCAAAGTTTTGTTAATTTAGTTTACCAATTTACTAATAAATCATTCTCCTGGTTTCTAACAAAAGAATATATAAACAAAATCTTATTGTATAAAGCCAAAAGAAACAACAACTTTTTACAAAATACAGAAACTCATTTTATATGAATCTCATAAATACCCAAAACATGGAAGACGCAGACAGGATGTTTGTTGTTATTTATATCTCATCTGACCACCTCTTATCTTATCAGATCACTTTTGACCACAACTCTTATGTCCACAACGACCACATCCACACAACTATCGTCCACACCAATCACATCCACATATCCTTTATCCACAGCAGCCACATCTGTCGTGTCATCCTCTCCACACCGGAGTTTAGACTTGGTCACCATGTCTTTCATTCCTCTCTTCCAGCTTCTTCCTCCCTTTCCCGAGACACGAAACTGCGGCATCAAAATCTTGGAAGTGGATCTTCATTGTTATCCATATCTTATCTAACCAATTTGCCCTTAACCCCAACTCCCATGTCCATAGCAACCACATCCACACAACTGCTGTCCACAATGACCACATCCACATATCCTTTATCCATAGCAGTCGCATCTGTCATTCCACACCAGAGTTCGGAATTGCTCGCCATTGTTATTCCTGCCTCTCCTCCAGATTCTTCCTCTCTCGCCCAAAACACCCGCCACTAAAACTGCGGTGTCGACACGGAAGTACTTGTTCGATTCATCTCAAAATCTGGCTTTCATATGTGCCACTGAAACCACATCGGCAGCGCAGAGATTCATCTATATACATCTCCATCATAGAGATCTGTCATCATCGATATCCATCGTAAAGTTGATATTTTTATCACAAAATTAAACAATGAAAAATCTTTTTTTTTTTTAAAAAAGAAAAAATAGAGAGAGGGAGGGAGAAAACAAATTAAAGACTAGAAATTATTAGAAGATTGGATTCTTGATTAGAGAATGTGGGAGTTCCAATTTTTGGATCTGAGAAAATAGAGAAAAGGAGAAAAAGATTAATTCCAATTCTAGGGTTTGTAAAGCTGGACACGAATAGGAACAAAAAATAGAAGAAAGGAATTACTTATTTTTGAAGTTCACGTTTGGTTTAGTTCAACCGAACACACTTTCACATGATTGAAGAATAAATTGGACAATTCAATTAGAGAAAATACCTTTTAAACCTAATGTGTCTTTCTAGGTAATTGAAAACTTCAAATGTGTCTCTAGAAATAAAATTTTCGTTTATTCTTGGTGCAAACTGTATGCATAAAATATTCTTACGTCCAGGACTTATAAGTGGGACTTGTATGTGTTTTTGTCGGCTGACTGTTCTTATTATTTTTAAGTATTTCGAAAATTATATTTTTGTAACTAAGTATTTCGATAATAATAGTATTACTTTGGACAATGTTCGAAATAATAGCAAATTACAATGGAAAATACAAATGTATAAATCTACTTTTTAATAAAACAAATATAGTTTCTATTCAAGAAAGGTAACATATAAATCTGGCATTTTTTGCCACATATTTTGGGAGAAACCTCGTTATGAATATATTCACGAACAAAAGGTTTCCTACACTGTAAATAATATTCTTTTGTAATGAAACTATAAACAAAATAAACAATGAAAAGTCAAATAGTCAGAATTTGTATTTTTATTTCTTAATATACTTTTTTTTTACATTTTGATAGAACTTCAGGGATGGTTTCTTCATACAATGTAGTTTTGATCTCTTTTTTTTAGAGTTCTGATTTACATATAGCCAAGCATAATAAAGTAGTCATGCTATTCTTTTATAAATGTTAGTTTTCTAAAAAGATAAATGAATTTTAAATTTCATCAAAAAAATATTTATTATTGTGTGACCATTTAAATTAGTAAATTTTTCATAATGAAATAAATTGATAAGAGTATTATTTTTTAATATATTAACTTTTTATATTAGCGTTTTAGTTAGAACTATTTATATTTAAAATAATGAGTCCTGATAAATCAGTAACACTAACTGTTGACAAACAGAACAAAAAGGCATTCATGTGTTTTTCAGCAAGGGGACAATGGGGGCCCATCCAAGTGGCAGCCTGTCGCCACTAGTGACGTCTCGAAAGTACAGTCTCGTAAGTATCATTGGCTCTAATTTTAATTGAACAGGAAAGCATATTCAAGTATTACTTATTGGATCATTTTCAACCCAACCTCATTTTGAGGTTTTGTGACATTTCAACCAAATCTCAAATTTTCAAATTTTTTTTTTTTGATAATCAAATTTTTTTTTTTTTTTTTTGAAATTTTCAAATTTTGAAATTTTAAATAGTAAAATTTTAAATTTAAGATTTTACTATTCAGAATTTAAAATTTAAAATTTCACTATTCTGAACTTTAAAGTTGAAGTTTTACTATTCGAAACCTCAGATATGATCACAAATTTTCAAATTTTAAATAGTAAAACTTTAAATTTAAGATTTCACTGCTCAGAATTTAAAATTTAAAATTTCACTATTCTGAACTTTAACGTTCCATTCCTACTGATAAGTAATATAAAATTTTGAAGCTCCTAAGGCTGTACAAGTCAGCAAACTTGCGGGAAAAAAAACGTATAAGATTTTGTAAGATTGAATGTTATCAATTATTAAAGATTTGGTCGAGTGGTTTAAGTTGATGACGAGAAGTTTGTACCGCGAGTGCGAGGGTTCAAAAAGCAGTGTTTGCATGTAATTTTTTTTCCATTTAGGCTTTTAGGGATACCTAAAAGCTTAGGGAGATTCATAATGATTTTTTTATGCTGGTTGTTGGGATACAAAATGACTTAAGGATTTAAAACTTTATGAGACCATCTTAGATACTTTTATAAGAAAGGTTATCATGTTCTAACCTCCAATATCATTTCAATTCAGTTATAATCATCAAATAAAATAAAAACATATTTTCAATAATAAATATTTACCCCGAACCATTCAGATCGACCATAAATCTCATATACATCACAACTAAAAATATATATATATATATATATATACAACATAATTTCATAAAGAAAATTACACTAATAAACACATGTCATTTTTTTTCTTGTCTCCATTAAATTATTTTTTTACATGAAAGCACTAATAAATGGAATGCTTGATAAAATCACTACGAAGATAAAATATGAAAATATCAACCCACATGAATTCGATGTTTATTCTCTTATCAGACTAATCAAGTTGTGTGACTTCTAATGTTTCATTCATCACCACTATAGATAAATCAGATAAACAAATGTTAAAAAAAACAGCAAAGTCTCATACACAAAACTACACAACACATCATCAACGTATCCAACCCTCGCGCTTGCGCGGGGACTATGCATCTAGTATGTCTAATAGTTAAGAGAATGACAACTGATAGGTCAATGTCATGTTGTACACATTAAATGAAAATTTCACCCACAAACTATTTAAACATTGATGTGGTTATTGTAAACACAAAATGCTATCATCCCTAAATTGTTATTCTGTTTTCCTCAAATTTTTCTCTCTCTTTTTTTTCCTAAAGAAAACATTATCTCTCTCATATATATCCATCAGTGATGACAGTTAGAGTTGAGATTATAAACCAAACAGACGAAGAGAAATTCCTTATGAGTTAAATGCTTGTAAAATTATGTTCTTAAATTCCGTATTTTAACTACCTAGTGCTTACCATGAAGTCAAATGGCAGTGGTATGAATTGATTTTGACCAGACTTGTTTCTTTTTGTGTGAACTTATGGAAGCATACGAGCTTTTTTGTGTGTAGTATATATATAGCTATGTCTACATAATTATTGATTTATAATATCTACGTCCTCCACTACCTTGTCAGTGCTTCAGAGACTATGACTGCAACGGGAACGTCGACATTCTACAGGAGTTTGCAAGTGATGTAGCACACAAAACGTGGTGGAAAGTGCACGATGCTATGCCTTAGAACTTGCAGAAGTTCTGTCTACTGAGATTGAAACAGAAGGCGCGCAACTGGAATGGGATAAGGATGAAAGCTGAGAAAGGAAACTACACGGATGGACATTGGAAGATTAAGATCAAGGATAAGCGACTAGAGACTTGTAATGAAAAGTTCTGTTACACGGAGAGTATGCTTTGGCATTGGGGTGGGTGACAAGAACTGGACTGATAATATGATTAGTTCTGTGATATATGATTATATCGGTTCTCGTATAGTTTTACTTTTCTGGGTATAGAAACATGTATAGTTCTCTTGCAAACCTTGTAGAGAATCATCCATTACAATGTCAATGACTATCTTTTTAGTAGAGCTTGTCTGAGTGTATCCGTATCTTGCAAATGATTGGTAAGTAGAGTATGTAAACAGGCCCTGAAACTAAACCCAATGGGCCTAATTAATAAATGTGCTTGCATTTGAAACGGTATCGTTTAGCTAACTGAACAAGATCTAAATCAAAACCTCTCTCCGAAAATGTTAAAGACCCAAACGAACAAGCAGTGAGTAAGCGAGCGAGAGGGAGAGGGAGAAATAATGGCGAGCTTAAGTAGTAGTAGTAATAGTAAGCCTAGAAACTTCGGCGCGTACAGTCATTACTACGCCACTCCCTGCACCCGCACACACCAGATTGGAGCTCTATTCCTCGTCGTCTCCACCTTCTTCCTCACCAGACTTCTCGATCAACACTTCTCGGAATCCAACTCCGTGATTAACATCCACCGCACTTCCTCCTCCGGATTCACGACCGATAACGGCATTCCACAATGGCCGGAGCGAGGGTACGGATCCCACCTCTCGCTGAAGATCTACGTATACGACGAGAACGACGAGATCGACGGTTTGAAAGAGCTGATGCACGGAAGGGACGGTAGTGTCGAAACCGCCAAATGCTTGAAAGGCCAGTGGGGATCTCAGGTGAGTGAGACTGACTTCTTCGGAATCACCCGCTAAGCTCGTGTGAACTTTGTTTAGCTTTTAGTTGATTTGTTGTTTGATGACGATGATGATGATTAGGTTAAGATTCACAAGCTGCTTATGGAGTCTAGGTTTAGAACGAGTAGGAAAGAGGAGGCGGATTTGTTTTTTGTGCCAGCTTATGTTAAGTGTGTGAGGATGCTTGGAGGTCTTAATGATAAGGAGATTAATCAGACTTATGTGAAGGTGAAATCATATCTTCACTCATCACTGATTCAGTTGTAGTCTGATGCTTATGTATACAGCTTGTAGATGCGTATGTATATGTTTATGGCTCACATGTTCTCTGATTTGTATAGGTTTTGAGTCAAATGCCGTATTTTAGGAGATCTGGTGGTCGTGATCATATCTTTGTTTTTCCCAGGTATACTAGTTGTGTTACTGTTTTGATGAATTGTATTGTTTTTTTTTTTTTTGTGAGATGTTTGACATTGGGTTTATTTGTTATGGTAATGTAGTGGTGCTGGAGCTCACTTGTTTAGGTCGTGGTCAACGTTTATCAACCGTTCTGTTATCCTCACTCCTGAGGTAATTTAGCCTTGCTCTCTTTTGAGGAAGATCTTGTCTTTTGAAGTGTATGTATATGGTGTTGTTAGTGAAGGGTTGGTGTGAAATTGGATGGTCTATGATGTTATTTACAAAATCATAGTTTTAGAGAGAAATGAATGTTGTAACGATTGTGGATGCAGGGTGACAGGACTGACAAGAAAGACACTACTGCCTTCAATACATGGAAAGATATTATCATACCTGGAAATGTCGATGATGCTATGACTAAAAATGGAAAGCCTGATGTTCAGCCTTTGCCGTTGTCGAAGAGGAAGTATTTAGCTAATTATTTGGGTCGTGCGCAAGGGAAGGCTGGTAGACTTAAATTGATAGACCTCTCAAAGCAGTATCCCGATAAGGTTAGCCTTACATCTTTATTCGTGGTTGTCTTTGCTAGTTTTATTGATTCTTATGAGTGGTTATGTGAGCAGTTGGAATGTCCAGACTTGAAGTTCAGCGGAAGTGAAAAGTTTGGAAGAACGACGTATTTTGAACATCTGAGGAACGCCAAGTTCTGCCTCGCTCCTCGTGGGGAATCATCATGGACTCTTCGCTTTTATGAATCCTTCTTTGTGGTCTGATCTATCATCTCTTCACCCAAACTTTTAGTTTCACGTTATAACTTGCTTTGATATTGTAATTTTGCTGGTTCAGGAATGTGTCCCGGTTCTGTTATCTGACCACGCTGAGCTACCTTTCCAGAATGTCATCGACTACGCCCAAGTATCCATCAAATGGCCATCATCTCGAATAGGAGCAGAGCTTCTTGATTACTTAGCTTCAATACCAGGTAACCAGAGAAGTTACTTTGTATCTGCTATTCTATGTGACAATATCATTTGATTTGCTAAGATTCTCAAACATGGCATGTCTCTTTCTTCTTTTCACAGATAAAGACATAGAAGGAATGATAGCCCGTGGTCGGAAAATCAGATGTTTGTTTGTGTACGGTCCAGATTCTGCACCATGCAGTGCGGTTAAAGGGATTCTATGGGAGCTTCAACGCAAAGTGAGACACTTCCAGCAATCGACCGAGACTTTTTGGCTGCACAATGGCAGTGTTGTAAATAGAGAGCTGGTGCACTTTAGTAGCTGGAGACCTCCTATGCCTCTACCGTGAGTGTTCTTGAGGCTTCATCATCCCACAGCCACAGGAATCTCCTTGTTTTTATTGGCCTTTACACATAGCTTAAATATTTTTTGTCAACTTAACATATACTAGAAGAAGTATTTTTTTAGTGAATGTACAAGATCTTATTTGACTAAAACTCGACAGAAATTGGACAAAACGAAACCAGACTGTATCAGAAAACCAAACATGACATCTGGTTAATTCGGATTTGAGTTCAACTCGGCTGTACCATAAAATAACAGATCAACAAAAGCAAACCAGAGATGAGAGAGAGATGTTTTTATCTGTAGAATGACAAAAGTTTTGCTACAGAATTAATTGACCGACAAGAAACCAATAATACAATCCCACCAAACAGAGTTCCACACGGAAGTCATCATTACATGTTTCTATGCATGACCCTTTTATAAGAAAAGCTACAGATCCTTTTGTTTGTAGTGTATGTAACTGATACACAACATAGATAGGAACTTTCTATTTCAGGTTATATATATGGTTATGTAACGTCAAAGATTTGACATCTTCCTAACAATTACTCTGCCTTCGGGTTCATCTATTGGTATTGTCTTGTAGCCGTCTTTAGCAAATGGCAACACCCAAAAAACATTAAAAAAGTTGGTATATCTCTTTTGAATGATCTTGTAACTTTGTGATGATGATGATAAGACTGGGAAGTTTGGTGGTTAATAAGAGTCCATCAATACAAATGGATCATAATTAGCTAGAGGCCAAAAGTGTAGGTAAGAAGAGTGCAAAGCCATTATTACTAATACATTCGAATTGGTGCAAAGTTTTCAAATATAAGCAATTATGGAATGTTAGAAAGGTCGAGAAGAAAGCCCTACCCTTTAGGGCAAATCAAGTATTTAATTCTGAGAAGTTATGATAAGATCTTTACATAAAAAAATTGATCGATGAATATAGTACCCTTTGTTCAATGTACATCGTTTTCTTTTGATTCGATCCTATCAAGAACCTCCATTAGAAGAAAATAAAAACAATTGATCTGTTGAGTTTTTACATCAAGAATGAACATTGAGATACAGAGACTATATCTGGAGTTTATCTTCTAGGAGTAGGAGTTTGGTTTTATCACTGATCAGTGATCACTCGCATTTGACAAACTATTATTTTTTCTATTAATATATTATTAAAAATATATTAATAACACAACCAAGACCAAACTGATCAACAGAATATAAAACTATCAAACCTTATATATTTTTTTAGCAAATCAAACCTTATATATAAAAGGGTATTTCTCTATATAAAAGAGAAAGTAGTAGATATTATATATTGGTCTTCTCGTTCCTATCATTCGGATTTCTATGCTAACGATAGTTCTAATAAGTTGTAACCAAAAAGTACACAATAATGGTCCAAGAAAGGACTACGTACTCGTGAAGAGTTGTCCCATGCCATGTGGTGTCTTTTACGAATTTTATCCCTACGTTACCATTTCAACTTCTAATAATTGTTTCCTTTCCTCATCTCTCTAGCTTGTTCAGTCTTTTGCTTTTCAGTCATTGACGTGGGAATCAAACCGAACCTCAAACGGCCATTTTCTTTTTATTGATGATACTTGTTGTGTGTGTAGTTATATAGTAACCAACAGATAATATGTGGAAGCACAAAAATCCATTTGTTGATCCACATCCAAAATATCAAGCGTCTACATTTTTGACGTAAAATGTTGTGGATCAGTTTGATGGGTGGTTCACTCGAAAATAAGGAGAGCACGCGTAAAGATAAAGCATGCACATTTCTTACAGACTGAGATTATATAAGATATGTCAGTCTACTGTGCTAGATTTCTGTTTTTGTCTATATATAAATTTCATCACCTTTTTCTATGTAAATATCAGAGTCTCAACAGATCTTGCTTAGCTAACGACGAAAAAAATAATAATAAAAAAATATATGGACTTGCTAAAGTCTGTCATTTGATAAACGTGAGATAAACGAGTGTAGCTCTTTTATTTCTTTTGAATTTTTATATTATTTTGGGATATATTGTACTCTTTTTTCTTGGGAGAATATTAAGTCAGATTTTAAAATTTTAGCTAATGCATGTGCATAACTATATATGTGTCCAGCAAGATTACCCGCTAAAATTTCCTCTCAATATAAAATACTAGCTATCTTTTTTTTCCTTCATTAATACAACTTATTTTCCAAATTTTTACTATTAGTATATTACTATAATTCCGGCTTCATGCAAGCGATTTGCAGCCTGCAATCCGAACTGATGACGGATTTTTGGAGTTAGCTCACCCTCGCGGGATCGCGACCCTTTATCCTCTGTCGATGATTTTCCTCACTAAGCTTTCAGGCGTTCCTCGGGGCAAGAAGTTTCAAGCTTGAATAAAATACAATATAAAAATGATTATTTGCAAAAAAAAATCGAGTAACGTTGTGTCACTGATTTATATGGGCTGTTTTGTAATTTGAAGATAATTGGAGTTTCGCGGTGAAGCGGTTGTCATCACACAACACCGATTCTTTCATATTTATACCCGTGAGGAAGACTCTTCTCGATAACAAACACTCACCTCACTTTCTCTCTCACTTGGCTCACAAACAAAGAAAGAACAAAGAGAGAAAATCTTTAGACGCGTTAAGAATTCAAAGATGAACATAGCTCACACCATCTTCGGCGTTTTCGGTAACCCAATTTCCCTCAATCTTTCATCTTTTTCAGTGAGAAAATACTGAGACTATACTAATATCTGCTTTTACAGGAAACGCAACTGCTTTGTTTCTCTTCTTGGCTCCTTCGTACGTATTCATCCCCTCTCTCTCTATCGTTCTTTAACTCCTTTCTATTTTAAACAAAGAAAAACTCAAGATTTGCTCTGTTCTGTTCTGTTTATTCAGGATAACATTCAAGAGAATCATCAAGAACAAATCAACCGAACAGTTCTCTGGCATTCCTTACCCTATGACTCTCCTCAACTGTCTCCTCTCTGCCTGGTAAAAAAAAAAACACTCTCGAATCTCAAAGTCGCTTTAAAAAACTCTGTTTCTAAGTTTCCTCTGTTTTTTTTTGGTTCTGGAGCTCCTCTGTTTCTAATCTTCCAATATCACATCGCTTTAACAACTCTGTTTCCTCTGTTTTTTTTAGGTACGGACTTCCCTTTGTGTCAAAGGACAACATGCTTGTGAGCACAATCAACGGAACAGGAGCAGTCATCGAGACAATCTACGTCTTGATCTTCCTTATCTACGCACCAAAGAAGGAGAAAGCTAAGATCTTTGCTATCTTCACCGCCGTCTTGGCCGTTTTCGCAACTGTGGCTCTCGTCTCTCTCTTTGCTCTCCATGGTAACGGTAGAAAACTCTTCTGTGGTATCGCAGCTACCGTCTTCTCCATCATCATGTATGCTTCTCCACTCTCAATCATGGTAAGCTAACAACAAAGACAAGTCTCTTCAACTTTTGCTCTGTTTTTTTTTTTTAAATGTTTGATTGATTTGATGAACAGAGATTGGTGATAAAGACGAAGAGTGTAGAGTACATGCCATTCTTTTTATCACTCTTTGTTTTCCTCTGTGGAACTTCTTGGTTCATCTACGGTCTCATCGGTCGTGACCCTTTTGTTGCTGTAAGTTTTAACTTACTTCTCCCTTCCTTCTTCACTGAAACTTTGATAACTAAACGTTGATGTGTCTGTTTTGTGTTGTGAAGATCCCAAATGGGTTTGGATGTGCTTTAGGGACAGTGCAATTGATTCTCTATTTCATATACTGTGGAAACAAAGGCGAGAAATCAACAGATGCTGAAAAGGATGAGAAGAAGAGTGTGGAGATGAAAGATGAGGAGAAGAATCATAATGTGGTTATTGGAAAGAAACAAGAGCAGCCAGTTTAGATATTTTGATTGATTTGTTCTGTGGTTAACTCGTTTTGTAACTCTTCTTCATTAGAGTTTTTTACTTTTGTGTTTTGTTGTCATGTAAAAAAAAACTAAGCTGGAAAATGTAAGATGATAAGTAATTGAAGAAGACAATGCCTAGTGAACCAAAGTGTTAGATTAGATTTAGAACCTGTGATCTCTGATCTTTGGTAATAACAATACATGGAGATGTTTTAACTAGTTACAATAAGCCAGGATTAAGAATGAAACATAACTCTTGTTACTGCAATACTCTTGCTTTATGAGATGAGTATATTGCTTGTTAGAGCTACTATAAAACTCATTGGTTTATCACAATGTCGATGTTAATGGCCGCCAAATCTTACAGCATCAGAAAGCTGCAAAAATACCATCAGCTAGGGATGATATTGCTGATTGACTTTTTCCTCATCAGCAAGAGAAAATATTAAATTTAACTCAGCTTAAATATCAATAAATAATCAAAAAGGTTCTATGGTGTAGTGGTTAGCACTCTGGACTTTGAATCCAGCGACCTGGGTTCGACTCCCGGTAGGACCTTCCTTTTCTTTTTATAGTTCCAGTCCATCTGTTAGCCCACCATCTTCCACAGGATATTTACAATCTGATCTTCAGTATTATTTTGTAATAAGAGGAACTCTACCTTTAGTAATAAGTAGTAACAAAGTCCTCATGAAACATCTCACCAAACACATACAAAAGATCCTTCAAGACAACATAAAGAAACCAATGCAAAAGCATTTCAGAGTTTGGCATCTACTCTCTCCTCATACATATCATGCTTCTATATACAACATAGTCTATTCCTTTCTTTCAGTGAGCAGAGTGAGGAACCGCACGATGAGCCTGAAGAATACAAGCACAGTGCACAGACGTCAAGTTCAAACACCCGCTCATCACAAGAGAATGTCTTCCCGAACACGTGTGGAGAGCAGGAAACGTATCGCAAACCGCTTGAACAGCAGAAGGTGTAAGTGCAGTGCATTGGCTTATGTTGAGACTTCTCAGCCCTTCTTCATCGTATTTGCTGCTCTTCTTAGCTGATGATTGCCATAACCCCGGTTTGTTCTTCACCCCGCTTTGAGCTAGCGAGTACATGGCTCTGTCTGTTATGTTTCTGCAGTAGTATAGCCCTAGTGACCTTAAGTGGATACACCAATCCGCTAAAGCTACCACACTCTCATCTGCAATAGTATTACATGACACAAGGTAAAGTTAGAAGACGGTCTTTGACATTAAAAGTTTCACCATCCACAATGGTTCACTCTGTTTTCTTCTTTCAAAATAGAATAACTATATAATGTAGTACAAAAATAAAAATTACTCTATCATACCCACTTTTACTGTATTATAGAGGGAAAAATAGAGTAGGGATGAAACATTTTCACTTCAAACTCTATCTAACACTATTTAAGAGTGAAATAGAGTGGGGTTGGAAATACTCTAAGATAATTTACCTGTAATGAGAACACAACCACACAAGTCCAAGGTCCTGAGATCTGGACAGCCATAAGCTAAACTCATAACCCCATCATCACTGATATTCTCACACCATCCCAAGTTTAGTGACTGCATCTGATTGCAGTTGTTCCCAATTGCCTGCACAAACACCAGGAAGAATGATTTTTTAAACAAAAATTATCGATTAAAACCATGCTAAGAGATAGGCAAAACCCACCTCCAAGGTATAATCAGAAACAGCGTTGACACATCCACAAAGATTCAGGACTTTCAGGTTTCTGCAGAACTTAGTCAGATAAGCAATAGCTTTGTCGCTGAATGAAGTACAACCGCTAAGGTTGAGTTTAGTGAGGTTAGGGCAACCATGAGCAAGTGCATAGAGGGAACGGTCAGTAAGTTTCAAGCTTTTGCTGAGATCAAGCTCTTGTAGCTCATGGCAGTGATTTGCTATGGCCTCCACTGCGTTGTCCTCTAGCTGAGGTTTGTCCTGGCGCAGTATTAAAGTTTGCAGCTTTACAAACTTGGGCGCAAGAGAAAGAACCAAGCCGTTCATGTTGTTGTTGCACCTAGTACACCAAAAGAAGAAAACAAATCAGAGAACTAGATAAAGATCAATGTTAATACACTTCAAGTGACAAGAACAAAGCTTCTATAGGTTCAAAGACTCAAAGAGTTGTCATCTAAGACAACAGAAACGACAAAAGATCTGAACTTTACACAAACCAGACATAACCACAAGATGAAACCAAACACAGAGACCAGATGATTATGCCTTAAGACAACAGCAAAGCTTCTATAGGTTCAAAGACTCAAAGAGTTGCCATCTACGAGAACATCAACGACAAAAGATCTGAGATTTACACAAACCAGACATAACCACAAGATGAAGCCAAACACAGAGACCAGATGATTGTGCCTTAAGACAACAACACACAGAACAGATGATTGTGCCTTGACAAAGCTTCTAAAGTTTCAAAGACTCAAAGGGTTGTCATTTAAGACAACAGAAACGACAAAAGATCTGAACTTTACACAAACCACACAACAGATAGACATAACCCACTAAACCCACAAGATGAAACCAAACACAGAACAGATGATTATGCCTTAAAACACCAAAACAGAGAAACATATGATTGTGCCTTTAACAAAAATAGGGTTTAGAAAAAGAGAATATTACCAAGAGAGACGGAGGCGAGTGAGACCAAGAGAAATAGCATCTCTCCAACCACAGCAAACACCAGAGGCAGCAATGACATTCCGATCATCAACAAGAGAAAGGATTCTCATAAGAAGCTCAACAGGGATATCTTTCCACTCTCTGATGTTGACTCCTCCCATCTTCATCATCATCATCTGAAAACACTGATGGTCAAGCTCCATGGATGTTTCTCCTACTACCATCACCATCTTCTTTAAAAAGTGAAGCGGTTTCTTGATCCTATCACCACACAAAAGGATGAGAGAGAGTTAAAGATAGAGTAAAAATATCTCTGCCTTTTCACGATTCAAAACCTCGAAAGTCGTAATTAAAGTAAAAGCAACTGTGTACATATTTACGAAAAAAAAAAACAAACTTTCTTTCTCAGAGAGACAGAACAAGAGTTCACAACCTCTGTAATAATTCACAGAAGCTCATTAGAAACAAAAAGAAAATCAAAATTAAATTATAGCTCATACCTTTGAATTAAGTTTCTTCTTCTCTGTTTCTGGGTTGTTCTGTTTTCCTTATATTATAAAAAAAAAATGTTTTTTTCGTTTGAAGTGAATACACAAGCTAAGCTGCCATATCGACCAGAAGATGGATAAGACAAGAAGAAAGATACCAAACTAAATGAAAAGTAAACGTGTGGGAAAGGATTCGTGACGCGTAGGCTGCCACGTGGAATATACTGAGTGGCAGATAACGTACAAATTGCAATGTATTGATTTCGTTGTTTTATGGCCATTGAAAAATGTTTTGAATAGTATTGGAAAAAATATTAGTTTATGAGATTGAAGAAAATGAAAATACTACTAATCATTTTTTCAGTAAAAAGGGAATTATTCTTCTTTTATCAAAAAGGAGTTATTCTTTGAGTAATAAAAATAGAAGAAGATTTGAGAGGAATGATTAGTGAACAAAAAAAAAAAAAGAGGTGATAGGAACGAATGTGTGTCAAAATCGAAGCCGCAACGAAGGAGATCCACTCATGTCTCAATATCATGTTATGAGCTAACTTCCAAAGACAAGCATCTGGTCATTCATTACTTTTTTAACACGTATGTATTATATGTAACGTTACTTAAATATTTTGATTATATATTTGAGTAATCATATAGTAAAAACTACCATGGTAGACACATGTGAGGCTTCAGTTAGCGCATGTCACGATATTCAAAACTGGACACTGTACACATCTCCTTCATGATTCTACCAGCATCCATAATACATAATATTATTGTGTATGACTAACTAATAGATACCTTGTTTATACCATGACTATAAGAAATTACGTTAATAGAAAAAAACACTTATCATGTAATCATATTAGCTTTCACTACGAATATGTCATTTAGATAGGTGGGCACGTTTTTTATTTATTGAAAACGTGCATATACTAGTGACGGAGCTTGCATGGGAAAGACATTTTGAGACCAAGCAAACATTTATTAGCTTGCATGTGTTCAAAAAAAAAGAAAGAGACCAAGCAAACATTTATAGACTTCCAACTTAAACCAATTTACATATGGGCCGGTCAGCTGGTGTAGCTAAACCTTCAGACCATGACATCTTATTAAACAATGAAACTAAACATTCTCAAGGCTCATAATGCTGATTTTGACAAATACAAAAGTCTACAGCGAGAAGTCTATCTGTGGATGATACATGAGACAGACTCACAGTTTCCTCTACATTCAGATATGAAAACCAGGAGGATAATCTTGAGGTTGTTTCTCTACTAAATCCTTTAAACCAAGTTCTTGCTCCTCTAGATTCTTCGTCTTAACATCATATACATCGTTAAACAACTCTGCCAATGGTGGTTTATCCCACTTCTCCGCTGCCTGAATCGCTTGTAGAAGCTACAAACACACATAAAACCCACTAAATAACTTCAATCTTAGCACCAAGAATATTGTTGTGTTTTTCCAGAATCTTTTACCTGTTTTCTTGCGTTAGATCTTATCTTGGATTCATCATCCTCACTCCACCATCCATTATCCTCGACCCATTTCTTGAATCTATTCACAGGGTTTCTTGACATTTTCCAGTATTGGATCTCATCAGCCGTCCTGTACTTGGTTGAATCATCTGATGTTGAATGATGTCCTACTCTATATGTCATTGCCTGGAAAAATTCTCATTTCACACAAAGTGATTAAAGAAGAAGTTGTTGTATACTTATTGATAATTCTCTAACTATATGGTTTTAACCTCGATGAGAACTGGTCTTTGTTCTGCTACAGCCATCTCTCTTGCTGAGCGTACCGCGCTGTAAACTGCCAGTGCATCGTTACCGTCCACTCGGATGCTTCTGATTCCGTAAGCTTGACCTTTCACAACGATTCCGTCACCTGCAAGCAACCACACAAGCTCACTTAAAAAAAACAGAGGATTTGTTTGGTGTAAATGTAATGATAAAAAGAAAAACAGAGGAAGTTCGTTAGTTTCATACTTCTGAACTGTTCTGAAATATGAGTGCTGATAGCCCAACCGTTGTTCCGACATATAAACACCACCGGAGCTTCCATCACCGCCGCAAAATTCAATCCGGCGTGGAAGTCTCCCTATCCATAAACAATCTTATTAAAAAGTACCTTGAAAAGCACTAAATCATTTTTAGCATTAAATTAAAAATTTTCCTAAAATAATACTTCTTAGAAAAATAAAAAGTAAATATATATTTTGTATTTAGGCTTAAAATTTAGTAATTAGGCTTATTGTTGTATGTTATTTTAGGGAGTTTATGTTGTTTCAAAATATATGTGTTTTGAGGTGTTAAAGTATGTTTTGAAATTTTAATGTTAATTTCAATTTTGTTGGGAACTATTCAACCAATAAAATTTTACAATCTTTTTCATAATTGGTTGAATGATTATAAAATTATATCTCTAAAAGTGATTTTTAGAAGAATGAGAATTTCTTAATCTTTATGCACCAACTCTAAACATCATATATTATGAAAATGTTGGAGTGTTTAGGAAATTAAGGTATAATCTGAATTTAAAAGTTAGAATAATGTTTTTTGACAAATATATATTATATTATAATTTTATACATTTTTTATTACTGGGGGCTAGTTTTGTGATAAACTTTAAGGTGTCATTTTGGAGTTTGCCATAAAATAAATTTCAGTTCTTGAAATGTTTCTATGAGTATGTAATCGAAACCAACCTCGCTTGTGCCGCCGTCTCCGATAAACGTTACTGCACAAGCGTTCTTCTTCTCCATCTTCAGAGAATAACCAACTCCAGCTGCTTGAGGAAGCTGTGTACTGAACAACAAAAACAGATTCAGCAAAATGCTTCATACAAAAACAAGAACCAAAAGATTGTGATCTCTTACGCGATAGGAGAGGAGACAGTGAAGTAGTTGTGTTGTTTCGAGCCGTAATGTATCGGCATCTGTCTTCCTTTTCCATGATCAGCTCTGTTACCAAAGCACTGATTCGCAAACTCTTGCAACGTGAAGCCACGCCATAGAAGCACTCCAGGCTCACGGTACTGAGGTAAAACGACGTCGTCTGGAGCGAGAGCGGCGGCTGAAGCGATGTTGATGGCTTCTTCTCCGAGGGAAGTGATGAAGAAGGAGATTCTTCCTTGACGTTGAGCTTCGTAGAAGATGTGGTCCATCACCTGAAGCGTCGCCATTTGTTCATACATTCTAACCGCGAGTTTCTCGCTCACCTTTTAAAATTATCGGTTAATATTAAACCAAACTAAACCGATTCTGATTATGTACATTCTCAACAACTGTACCGGGATAAAATCGCTATTGAGGATGATTCTTCCGTTTTCGTCAAGAACGCGATAACAAGGAACTCTTTGAGGAGATGATTCAGGGATGAATTTCATCTCAGATGTGTAACCGAGTTTGCCTCCCGGAAAATCCAATCTCTATAATATTATTTGAGAAGTCAGTTTCCTACGTGTCGCGCTCACGTTAACTCTCACGATGGTTGATTACATAGATACCCTTAATGAATTGTTAGATTTTAAGTTTATTATTAATTTTTTATTTAATTTCTTTTTTACCTTTTTCCAAATAACATATAATAATAAAAAGGAAATATTTCTAAAATTTTAAAACAAATTTAAAACGTAAATATAAGTATATAATATGACTTTATTAAAAAGGAAAGTTCACAAAACAGTAATATCCCCATTAATATATATTTTTAGATAACATAAAATATATTTTCAAAATAATAAAATATAGATGTTTATGAACATTCAAAAATTTATTAGTTACACTTTATTTTTTAATATTTTTTAGAAATCAACATATAATTTGATAAATATTATGAAAGTACATGTATATTTAAGCGATAAATAAAACTAATTTGATTGGACTTAATTAAAATGAAAAGTAATTATACTTCAAATTTTAATTTNTATTTTCAAAATAATAAAATATAGATGTTTATGAACATTCAAAAATTTATTAGTTACACTTTATTTTTTAATATTTTTTAGAAATCAACATATAATTTGATAAATATTATGAAAGTACATGTATATTTAAGCGATAAATAAAACTAATTTGATTGGACTTAATTAAAATGAAAAGTAATTATACTTCAAATTTTAATTTAAAAATATATTTAACTCAATATACTCACAAAACGAATGACTCGGCTAATTTAATTTATATCCAAAATTAAATATCTAACTACAATAAGAGCATATAATTTTATAATAATAACAATAATAATAATAATCTATTTAATTTTATACATATAAATTAGAGGTTGAATCAAATTATATTAAAAAGAAAAATAAAATATTAACCAATTACAATTCAATTCTTTTGTAGAATTTATATATATTCATGAGACTTCAAAATATTATCATTATATTCATTTATGTAATTGTGAATTAAACACTTCAGCTTATTATTTATTTCATTTTAAACACAATATATATTAAGTTATACATAATTTAACTATAGTATATTTACATATTTAAGACAATAACCAACCGAAAAATATGAAAATTAATCAAGGTTTTATTATATTTAGAATAAAAAAATATTATAGCTAAATTCAAAAAATGGATATTATCCAATATACCAAATTGATAACCAAACCAACTATTGATCCAAAAAATAATTAAACCGACAATAATATATCCAAAGTCATATGTATAAGTAGAATAATATAATATTTATTAATATAAATTATACATATAAATTTATTCAAAACTAAATCTAAATATCAATAAATTATTATAAAAATTTACTTTTATAAATATTCATACCCGTGCATGAGCACGGGAAAATCACCTAGTTCCTAGTGTTTTCAAATACGGTTTTAGATGGCTAAAACTTGTAAAGAACTAAAACTATTGAGCCAAATGTGTAAAGTTTGAAAAGAACAAAGGCTCATAGTGGAAAATAGTTTCCACACTGTGAGTGTGAGACTTATTTGAGTGATATTATAACTATATGATCAAGAGTGTGACCCACATAGTACTAAACTATTCAACTGTTCATACGTGTGACTTGTGGTCCTCTTCTTGTTGTGTATGGTTTTCTTATGTACAAAACTACAAATCTTTGATACTAGGAAATATAAAGTTTCAGTTAAAATGGAAACTATTTTCACCCAGAATTTGTTTTAGTATAATTTTTTATATGTAATGAATCAAGAACTAAACCGGATTAATCATATTTTTTTTTTATCAAATTTAAAACGAAAATTATCTACTAAATCCAAAAGAAAACAAACAAGTCTCCTTAGTTATATATATCCTTAGTCTGAAAAAACCAATTATATCCGTGATAAAATGATTTGTACGACTGAAATAATCGTCCACTTTTGTTTTTTTATGAACTAGATCCAAAGTTTTTAATCATGTATAATCACATGAAACCTAGCTAGTATATATATTTGAACGTAATATACCTGATGAACATCTTCCTCATCACTTTGTTGAACCAAATCAGACTGTCTTTCCACTGCGGTTGACTCGTGACGTAGACTCCTGAAGGGATCCGAAAACACTGTCGAAGAAAACTGAGAGACTGTAAAAGCGGGACGACGAGAGTAAGTGCGTTTGGTGAGAATCTCCGACAAACTCAGATTCTGTCTCAAGCTAGAAACGATGTTTCTTGATCTAGCAAACCAGATCGCCATGCCTGCAAATAGGACAAGAAGAAGAGGAGAAGAAGAGATGAAGAGTAATACAAGAAAGACGAAAGGAAAGGGATTGCGTCTTTAACGATGTGTGAGTGCAACGGGTTAGAAGGACGACATGTGCATGTATTTTTCCTGTCGGGCTTGACATGTCATCCGGATCCATCTCCAACTGTACAAAAACGTTAACATCATCCTAACTTTTGGGACTAGTTTCTTCAAGAAAAATATACTAAAATAATTTATTAAACCTACTTAGGAAATCATTTTAATATCTTTCCAACAACCAAACCAGACTGTACTGTGCTTTTTTTAATTGCGTTTGATCTTTTAGCCCATTATACAGATTTGATACTCATCTACTTGCGTGACATTTGTGACCTTTCTTTGAATTTGTCATGACGTCTGTGAATTTAAAACCTTTTTAAAGAAAAGAAAAAATGTTTTATATTGATACCACGTGAAAATATTTCCATTTATGAACTAGTTGAAGGTTACACAACGACCACCTAAACACGAGTTTGATCTATTTTTAGAAAGGTGAAGATGTGTTGTTTCTCAAATTATGATTCATTGATGGGTAACATCTAACCTAACAAACAAAGGTTTCTTGAACCTAAGCTAAAGTTATGGCCTGGCCTACACTATTCCCATCACTAGTAGGATGTAGAAAAGTGAATTCAGAATTAACTAATCTCGGATTGTTGTTATGAACATATCATAGACGATCTCAGTATAGATGCTACGTACTAATTTACTTACTTACCCTAATGGCTATTCGATACTCATACGCAAATAGTTGATATATGGAGAAGAGATAAAACTATGTTTGGTGAAGGATTTTGTAAAGCTCCGACCGCCCACGGCTAATGGGCCACCCACACCCGCTCTCTCGGCTCGTGGGCCCCATCCCATTCCAACGGCCGGTCTGTTAATTTTCCAATGTTCTATAGTCATGTTTACGTTGGAACGGGATGGGGCCCACAGGCTGAGAGAACGGGTGTGGGTGGCCCATTAACTATGGGCGGTCTGGACGTTACTGATTTTAACGTTGGCTGACCTAATAACCCATGACAAAGCAGCAAAAATGAAGATAGATTAAAGAGCTCGATATGTGGGAACCGAGTACAAGATAAGAAATACCACTACAAGAAAACGAAGTTACAGCCGAGGACCATATTAAACGGAAGCTTGTCGGGAATAAGTGTTTCCGATCGTTTCCTGAGGACCAAAATTTTGTCGGCGTTTGGGTCTCGGAAACACTCATTTCTCGGAAATTTCTCGGTAACTTCCGATAACAATTGTTGTCGGAAATACTTGACGGAAAATCATCAGAATATACNCACTACAAGAAAACGAAGTTACAGCCGAGGACCATATTAAACGGAAGCTTGTCGGGAATAAGTGTTTCCGATCGTTTCCTGAGGACCAAAATTTTGTCGGCGTTTGGGTCTCGGAAACACTCATTTCTCGGAAATTTCTCGGTAACTTCCGATAACAATTGTTGTCGGAAATACTTGACGGAAAATCATCAGAATATACTGATAAATTTAGGAGGAATCAGTTCCGATTAACTTCCGACAACTGAATATATTTAAATAAAAAAAATTAATAAAACTAAAACTAATACCAAAATTAAAAAATGAGCCAAAAAAAAACTAAAACTAATAAAATCATCAAATATTCCATTGAATAATAATTAAACAAGAAAATTCCATAACAAAAAGAATTACAAATAAAATAACTGATCTATTATCATCGGGTTGGAGTGAGCGGCAATGGAAGTAGTTGTCGAAGGAGTTGGAGCGACGGTGGCGTAAAAGGAGCTGCGGTTGATGGTGGTGCAAAGAGCTATGGCGGTGGCGTGAAAGGAGCTGCGGCATCGGATCTGCGGCGGTGAAAGTAAAAGGAGCTGCGATGCGGTGGTGACGGTGCAAAGAGGTGCGATGCGGTGGTGACGGTGCAAAGAGGTGCGGCGGTGACGGGGTAAGGAGGTGCGATGGTGAGGGGGCAAGGAGGTGCGACGGTGACAAGGCAAGGAGGTGCAGCGGTGATGGAGTAAACGTTTCACGGTGGTTTCTTTTGTACTGCAAAAATAGATCTGAGAAACAGAGTTAAAAAGGAGAGGAAAGAGTTAAGAAAATGAAAGAGAAGAATGGAAAAAATATATTGGTAAGTGGTAAATATTCTTAACCACTCGTTCCTAATAATATTTTACAACGATGAAGTATTTTATACCAAAACACAACCGTTTGGTGTAAGTCTTTTCTCCATCCACAACACGTTTTGACTTGATAAAATTAGAAAAATACTGAAAATAAACGCAGCATCAACAAATGCTTTTAAAATTATAGCCGACACACCAATACCGGTATATTCCCGATTACGTTTCCGATGATGCACAGTTAATCAATATTCATCGGAATTTTTCGTCAGAATACCGACATGTTTGCTAGAATACTCCGACAAAATAAAATTCTCGGAAATAGATTTGTGTTCTGACAAGATTCCGACAAGTTTTTCCGTTAATGTTCCGACAAATCTAGTTCATCGGAATTTTCCGAGAAATTTCCGACAAAGGTGGTAGTTTCTCGGTAGTTCCTCGGAACGGCAAAGCAAGTTTACCGATGACTCATGTCCTCGGAAACTATCCTCGGAGTTCACACTCTTTTCTTGTAGTGNGAAATAGATTTGTGTTCTGACAAGATTCCGACAAGTTTTTCCGTTAATGTTCCGACAAATCTAGTTCATCGGAATTTTCCGAGAAATTTCCGACAAAGGTGGTAGTTTCTCGGTAGTTCCTCGGAACGGCAAAGCAAGTTTACCGATGACTCATGTCCTCGGAAACTATCCTCGGAGTTCACACTCTTTTCTTGTAGTGTACATGCTCGAGCAGTAGGACGCTGGAAAAGGTCAAAGTTTATCTCTATGTTTTAATCAGGGAACTAAATATGTTTAATGTTTGAAGTCGGTTTCTTAATTTCCAAGATCTTAAAGCATATTTGACTGTTAAATATTTTAAGAGAATTAACCCAAAATTTCAGAACTAAGTTGATATACATATTAACATCAAGTTATTTACGAGTGTTTGATATTAGGATTCCATCTTATTACAAAATGGTTGCATGGGAAATATTATATTATATCTAAGAAAATTAAACAAGTCGCCGTCCATATTTTGTAAGACAAACATATATTTGATTTGTCGGAATCCATGGTTCCAACCGCAACTGATGGAGTCTTTCTACATTGTCCAAGACACATGTCTAGGCACTCCAATTGTTACTCGTTGTCCGAGTTTGCTTCAGCTTCTATCGTAAGCAACGCGATTAGCAACATCGTGATCCACGCCATACTCATCTTTCCCTCATTTTGATTTGTTTTATTCCTCTTGGTAGAGATACTATTGTTGGGATAAAAATCACACATAGAGCTGGGAATCTGAGTCATCACCCGCGGGTTCCTTTTGGTTTGACCTGCTGTGGGGTGGGTGCATGTCGAACAATTTGAAAAAAACGATTGGTATGTGTGAGTGCGGGTTATGAATATTTTATGCACGTGTAATTCACACATAAAAAAAATATAAATGACTTGAGTTGGAAATCCTGAAAACTTATCAACTATGATTAAGTAAGATATATCGTTATTTATACATTATCGCTTGACCTAAATCACCCGAAAACTCAATACTGGTATAACTTTTAAAGAGTTGATAATAATCTTTCGTATTATTTCTTTAAAAAAAAATTATTCTTTCTTTTGAAAAATATTTAATTTCAGTTTTATAACATTAAATGTTAACTAGATGACTACCGACTAGACATATTATTAAAACGTGTACATAGATGTAAACAAATTATCAATTTATTTATGTGTATTTTTTATATTTGTATTAGATGTTTTTAAGTTTTGAGATTAATTATAGAGTTGTTTTGTACAGTATAAGATAAAAATAAATAAAATATATTTTTAGATTTTCACTAATATTATTGATTAATTAATATAACCCGACCAATTTAAATAATTTAGACTAATCTAAACTGATTTAGAACAATTTAAATCGATTTAAATTGCATAAAATAATATAGTTTTTAACAATTGTTTCGACTATAATTGAGTTTAGAAGAGAAAACATATTTTTAGAACATTGCGTAACTTATGTAGAGATTCTATGGCGATTTGTATGATGTATTAGAGTATGTTTATTGGATGGACCTAAAATGGGTTGTTTAAAATTTTTTGTTTTCTGATTTTTTTTTAAAAAAAAAAATTTATAAACCAATCGCGAATAATCATGTGTCAATGGAGCCCACGAACAGTGCAAACAACAGTCAAAATAGATTGCTTAATTAAGCAATTTAAGTAATGTTGCTTAACTATTTTGTGGGACTAATGTTTAAAAAATTCTTAAGCAACCCTCCTACGCTATCCCAATAAACATGTTCTTAGTTGCTAATGATCATTATTTTCAACCTAAACTATATAGTCATCGGAGTATTATATTTAACAAATTAATTAATGGAAAGAATAATCAAAGATTCTGAAGTTTATGTCACCGGCAGTTAGTTTAGCATATTCAGACAAAAGCCAAACAAAACTCAAACTTTGCATCTTAGTTTATTAGCAGAACAAAGAAGTCGCAGTTGATTTATGTGCGGTGACTAAATTCCGATCGTTTCCGAGTTACAAGCTCAGATCTTTCTTTTACGATAATTGTTCTCATCGTCTTGACTTGATCCTGAGACACGGCACATATCTATCATCTGTTCTCAAGTTCAGAGTCCACACACCAGGTAAATCTTCGTCAATGGATTACTTTCTTTTGAAGGTTTCACTTACATATTTCGTGATCTGGTGTGTGAATTGTGATATTCCTGATCCCAGTGGATGTGATATTCTTAGCCGTGATTGTTCTGTTTGTAATTAACAAGTTGATGTAATGATGTTTCAAACTGTGTTTTCATATATGTATAGGAAGCTTGAAATTTTAGGATTTTGATTGAATAAATCGGTAATGGCAAATAACGGGGCTGCTTGTGCTGAGAGGGCTACGAGTGATATGCTGATTGGTCCTGATTGGGCTATCAACATTGAATTGTGTGACATTATCAACATGGATCCTAGGTAACGTAATTTGATGAGTTATTACTCTCAGAAAACAACGTTAAAGTTTTCCAGCATCATTTGTTGACCTTGTTTTGTTTCTGTAGTCAAGCAAAAGAAGCAGTGAAGGTGCTCAAGAAACGGCTAGCAAGTAAAAACTCTAAAGTGCAGATTCTCGCTCTTTATGTAAGTTCCTTTATACAATGACTTTGGTTTGGTTTGGTTCTGTTTATTGTACTGATCTTCTCATTTGGTTCAGGCATTGGAAACTCTGAGTAAGAACTGTGGTGAGAGCGTGTACCAGCTTATCGTAGACCGTGATATCTTACCTGACATGGTCAAAATAGTGAAGAAAAAGGTTTTTAAACTTTTTATTCTACAAAATCTATTCTCAAATTCTCTTACACTGGAAAAATTTACCAACCTCGCCTTTGCAGCCGGACCTGAGTGTAAGAGAGAAGATACTTAGTTTATTAGATGCATGGCAAGAGGCTTTTGGTGGAAGCGGTGGAAGATTCCCTCAGTATTACCATGCTTATAATGAGCTCAGGGTATGTCGCTTGAGCCTTTTATGTGTATGTATAATTGTATTATTATGTATCAAAGTTTTTATTGACTTTTTGAAAACTTTAGTCTGCTGGAGTTGAGTTCCCTCCTAGAACCGAGAGCAGTGTACCCTTCTTTACTCCACCTCAGACTCAGCCCATTATTGCTCACGCCGCTGCTGCGTCAGATGAAGATGCTGCTATTCAGGCCTCTTTGCAAAGTGATGACGCTTCTGCACTTAGGTACACTCTCTAGTTTGCTAGACCTGTGTTCATATTCTGTGTCTCGAGCATGTTATAGACTTTAGTATCTTTTTGTTTTTTCTAGTGTGGAAGAGATTCAAAGTGCTCAAGGATCAGTTGATATTTTGATGGACATGCTTGGGGCTCTTGATCCAAGCCATCCTGAGGTGGGATGTGTACATGATTAAATTTAGCGGCTATGTTGTTTAATCTGGTTTGAAATACTCACCGTTGTTGATGTTATGACAGGGTTTAAAAGAAGAACTTATAGTTGACTTGGTAGAACAGTGCCGTACTTATCAAAGACGTGTAATGACCCTTGTCAACACTACATCGTAAGGATTCTTTTGTCCTCTCCTTTCACCCTTTGCTCAATTTGATAGAATAGTGAGAGACTCGTTTCTTTTGGCAGAGATGAGGAGCTTCTGTGTCAAGGATTGGCATTAAACGACAATTTGCAGCGTGTTCTTCAGCAACATGATGATAAGGCAAAGGGAAGCTTTGTTCCTTCAGCAACAGCTCCCACTGCCCCGCTTGTTAGCATCAACCATGACGATGATGATGAGTCAGATGATGATTTTGCTCAGCTATCTTACAGGTAAATGCCTATCCGTTCCTCATTTCAGTTGAATTCCAAAAGATTCATCTAAAGTCATATCCACAGGTCGAAAAGAGAGACTTCACGAGGGAACTTCAACCCTATTCTTCCTCCTCCACCACCTACAATGAGACCAGTACATGTTGAATCAGGTGCCATGGACTTCCTCAGTGGTGATGTCTACAAACCTCAAGGTACCTCAAGTACTTCTCATTCATCAGATCGAGACTCTTCTGCTCCTGTTTTCGATGAGCCAGCTCCACCGAGCAAATCCCCTGAGCAAGCTTTGTTCACCAAACCAGTTTATGACCAAGAAACAGAACAGTTGCCTCGTGCTCCACCACCAATGTCTGTTAGAACCAACCCGAGGCAACAATACTCGCAGGCTAGTCATGTTCCTCAACAACACTCAAGCGGTGGCTCTGAGTCCTCTTACGAGGATCTCATGGGACAGACAAGGAATCTTTCTCTCAATCCAACGGCATCTGCTGCTACACCACCACAACCAAAAAAAGATGACAAACCAGAGGATATCCTTTTCAAAGACCTGGTTGACTTTGCAAGAACCAGGAAGTCACCGTCCTCTTCCTCCAAACCAAACAATCAGAACAACACACCGTTTTGAGACAGAGCTGCCAGTTGTTACTTTAGTAATAACTACTCTTTTACCATTCTTTCTTCTTCTCCTTGTGTTCTTGTTTTCTTTGAGTAAACATGGGTGATTATCAGATAATAAAAGTGGATGTATAGAGATCTTTTATTGGATAGAAATGTCATAATGTAATTATTACAGTCTTTTAAGTTCTCAGTTTGTAAAATACAAAGATTCTTAAGTATCTCTTTTTATGAAACGAAAAAAAATATGAATTTCTTCTACTAAGCTCTTGATAAAGCAAGTATCTGTTCCTTTAAGTCTAGTATTAGCTCAGTCACATGGGAGAGAGCCAGGGTAAGGAGCTGAACCGCAGTACCTGAACAATCCTCTTATCTCAAGGCAGCCATTAGGGTAAGGTATAGTGCTGTGGAAAGGGTCACGCTGCAACTTCTTACGCCATATGGATCTTCTTGAAACTGAGCTCTAACCATAGCCTCACCTTTCAGAGCGCCTTCTTTGGATGACACAGAAGCTGGAGGCCCTAAGTAAAAGAATCTTGATTCTGGAAACCCCATTGCTGAACATTGCGAATGCCCAAATCTCTCCTCCTTAGAATCATAGCTCACTCCCTGAACCAAGCATGAAGTTAAACATTAAAGAGGCTTTACTGTTATGTTCAAATTTGTAAGCAAGAGAGGCTTTGCTGTTATGTTGTGTGGGTAAGACCCTGTGAGCTCCCTGAAGCGACAAACACTAAAGAGAAGATTCTCAAAGCTGTCTTCTAGCATGCTCTTAAGTTAACGCCCTCGAATTTATTTTCATATCTGTAAACCAGATAGGGACTAAACCGTATGAACCGAGAAGTAAAGTTCGAGTCTAATTCATAGTTTCATTTTATGTTTTTGGACTAATTAAAACACGTGACATAGATTTTAAAACATTTTTGCTTTCCTCCTATTTTATACACAATTAAAAATTCATATATATACACATGCACACTCCCTCTCTTTTCCACTAATCAATCATTGTTCTTCTTTCACTAAAACCATCACCACACTCACATCACATAACTCCCTTCTGATCTAGATTCCAAACAAGATCATGAAGAAGCCGCCAGCATCACGTTTAAACCAACAAAAACCTCCATATCAGTCACCGCCACGACCACCACCGCAACAAGAACCGTATCAAACGCAACCACCACCACCGTTACACCAACAAGAACCATCGCAAACGCCAAGATCACGTGACACACCCTCAGCCTCTACAGCTCCACCCTCGTCTTCTTCTCCGTATACGTCAGCAGTACCGAACTCCACGTCAGCAGCGTTCTATGACTCTTTGTTATGGGCGGAGTCATCTTCTACGTTCAGTCCACAAGGTTCATCATCATTCTTCAGTGACTACTACTTTGATTCTTGATTGGGCTTTTTAGTTTACAACGTTTTCTTGGAATGGGCCAAGAGGTGTATGAACTTATTCGGCCGTCAATATTTTTTGTTTGTAGATTTGGAATTCCTCTATTTCTTGTTATCGTCGCCGTCCATGCACCCTACGACGTCGTCCATCCCACACTGTGACGGTGGTCCTCTGAAACGTCCTCGTTTTGACTTGGGTAAATGCATTAGTGTCTTCCTTTTTTTTTTTTTGTGGATTGTACAATGTACCCTTTAAGGAGAGCTATATTGCAATTGGGCAGTAGTTTTGTGTTGGTTCTCAGGTAGACATTGGAACATCTTTCCACTTGTTATTATAGGCTGAGAGCCAATAACTTACAAAATGAGCTGCTCTGTGCTTTGCTAGGAGTTTTGATCTCTTCGTTACGTTTGATGCTATGTTAAAACAGAGATAATCAATGTTTTGTGTACAGAAAGATTAAGTGTATGATCCCATTAACTATACCTATGAATGTGTAAATAACGTTTGCATGATTATTCGCCTTTGTCTTATCTAGGCCATGATATGCAGAGTTACGTGTCACGGGATACCAGAACTATTGGCTCAAATTCTGGCATGTATCTGCGGAGAGTGGTACAATCTCCTTAATTAACTTTTTTTTTTCTTTAATGTTTAGTCTCTTTGTTTTGCAACGAACTGAAAATACTCTTCCTTGTTTTTGTAGCAAACGCCTTCTTTGCCATCTAAAGGAGTTGGTCGATTTAATGGTGTTGGTGGCATGGGAAGACCAGGTGGTCACAATCTGTACATGCCTGGGGTTGGTGTAGTTTTTCCTCCAGATTTTGGGAGAAATGGTACTCGAGCTATTGGTTTTGGTCAACAAGATTTAGCTGGTTGGCCTAGTAGGGAGCGCCTTCCTCTACCTCCCGATGTATCCAGCACTCTATTGGACTTCCTTCTAATTGCTCAATGAGGGAAGTAGCTCGTATCCTATTTTTTTATACTTTGTTTTAAAAAAAAAAGTTTTGTCGCTTAAGAATGTTTGAGCGGTTCACTTGTTCTTAATAACTATATGTTTAGATATATTTCGGCCTTTCTTGGGATATAAAGAAGTGAGACTTGTCACCAAAGCCTCAAAGCATGTAAGATTCACTTGTACTAATGCATTCATTAGCTTTGACTTACTAAAGGGTTTTTAATTATAATGCAGAGGAATGGAGATCCTATTGTTCTTTGTTTTGTTGATTTCGAAAATCCTGCACGTGCAGCTACTGCTCTTAACGCCCTGCAAGGTAACTAAGTTTATCTCTGCTTCCGGATTATATAGTTCCTCTACACATATTGAGTTTCTTGTAATGCACTCTATCTTCATCAACATGTTGTGGTTTCCTTAAGAAAGGCTCTCCGGCCTCAGACTTAATAGATTCCACTATGCATTTGACAGGCTATCGAATGGATGAAGAGGAACCTTGTTCCAAGATTTTGCATATCCAGTTTTCCAGAAACCGAAGTCCAAGACCAGGGCAACGTGGAGGAAGAAGGAGGTGATGAGTCGAGATACATTTTGGGGCACATCAACCAAAACTCTAACTTATTGTTTTCTCTTGAACCTAATACACACTTGATCACATATTCAAATCTTTAGTAGTACTCTCACTCATAGCTATAGAGATGTAACAGATAAACACAATAGTCTAGGAGTTTAGTTGATTGGAATCTAAGAAATATCTCAATGCATAAATGTTTTTCATTGTCTTGATACTTTGGTTTTTAACTGTTTAGGTGGACAAAAGAAGTCAAAAGAAATACAGAAATGATATTATTTTTTTTCACAAAAAAAGACTTAGACGTGATACTGATTGTGACAGAGCCTTGACTAATAATACACATCAGCGACCAGCTTCCATGTGCATGCTTGCTACATTCTTGATGCTGTCATAGCCAGTGCTACTTGTATCCCCTTGCGCTGATAAGATTTCAACACCGACCAAATTCTCAGTCACCTCCCCAGGATACTGATCTGACCACTGATGTTTGGTTTTTGTGACTCTCAAGCCCTCAAGCTTTGCAGCTACTTCTGTCATCAATGGCCTTTCTTCTCCCGTCACTCTTGTACACTCCATAGCAACTCTGACAGCTTCCTCGATCTCCTTCCAGTTATTCCCGTTGATTACTTTCTCATCTATAACCTCGTGCAACCTGTTCTCTTTCATGGCAGAAGCAATGTAATGCACCAGATGTTTTGACTGCAGCGGCCTTTCGAAGCACAATGCCTTTTGGCCCGAGAGAAGTTCCATGAGGACGACACCAAAGCTATAAACATCACTCTTTTCGTTTAGCAGCCCTGTGTTGTAGTATTCAGGGTCTAAGTAGCCTAGAGTGCCTTGCACCATGGTTGTGAGCTGCTCTTTATCCATTGGTATAAGCCTTGAAGCACCAAAGTCAGCTACCTTGGCAGTTAAGTTCTCGTCCAGGAGAATGTTAGCAGTCTTCACGTCTCGGTGGATGATTGGGATAGAAGCAGAGGAATGAAGATATGCAAGAGTTCCAGCTATCTCCACTGCTATCCTCAGGCGATGTTCCCATGTAAGAGAAGGACCAAACAGGGAACCGTGCAAGTGATCAAAAAGGGTGCCACTGTTAATGAACTCGTAAACCAGCAAGGGAACTTCGGTCTCTAGACAGCAGCCCAAGAGTTTGACAACGTTCCGATGGTTGATCTGTGAAAGCACTAGCACTTCGTTGATGAACTGCTCTACTTGGCTGTTGTCTCCAAGCCGAGCTTTCTTTATAGCAACTATGGAGTTGTCTGGGAGTATGCCTTTGTAGACAGTTCCTTGTCCTCCCTGGCCAAGGATTCTGCTCTTGTCGTAGCCATTGGTTGATGTCTTCATGCCTTTTTCAGTGAAGATTTTTACATTAGCATTTGATGTCCCTGGTCCTGAGAGTCTCTGTATTAACATGCCGCCACCGTTTTGCTCGAAGAACTTTTGTCGGAGTTCAGCTATCTTCCGGTGCTTCATTCTATGTTGTACGAAGCTAACAACAAGCAGGATGGACAAGAAGCCGATGGTAGTTCCTGATCACATCACACATAGATGATTAGACACAAAAAGATGATTAAATCTGGGTAACATTAAGTCTAGAGGGAAGCTTACCAAGAAGAATGGTAGCCCATTCAAAGTCTCTAAGCTTGCAACTCATATTTGTGGTATCTAAGAGGTAACCAGATCGGCACTTACAGTCGAAGCCTCCAACCTTGTTTCTACAGGTTCTGGGATCCGAACAGTTATGCTTATGGATAGTACTAGTACACTCATCGATGTCTAACACAAGCAAAAAAACGCGTTAGATGAAACAAGAAATGTTGAAAGAAGAGGAAAGAAGTGTACCTTGGCAACCGTGTTCATTTGAAAGGTAAGGATTCCCCTCAAAGCCTTCTAGACATTTGCAGTTGTACCCTGTTTCACGAGCGGAGTTGAAACATGTGCTGTTCTCCATACCGCATATGCTTGTGTTTCCAGCTTGCTCGCATGTCTGGTGTCCAATAGACCAATCCAGTACCAGAGGGAACTTGCTGACATGCCGTAGGTTCTTAAGATCTTCCAAAGCATTAAAGTTAAAAGTACCATTTTCGGCGAGAAAGGCATACGTGCAAGGATTAAAGTCATACACAGAAGTCATGTTCTGCAGACGAGATGGGCGAGTTTCGAATTTATAGCTATCATACGGGTCAGAGACATCTGTTCTGCAGCAACCTGCGCCATTACAGTCTCCATTTGCCACAGGTGGAGAGTTACACGTTGACAAACATCCAGTTGAGTAATTTTGCGGTCCGAAAGTGCTCAGAAGTGCTATAGCGTTACAGCCTACTACGTTAAACTTGTTTTTGTGGGAGAGAGATAAACTACCAAGCGTGTATTCGTAGTAACAACTACCATTCGGATTTCCCTGGCTATCGTAGCAAGCGTAGGAAATATTATTCCAGCCGCGTAGTTCCCCGCTGTGAGATATGTTGATGACTTCAAGGTTACGTCGAAAGAATAGCTTCTGTTCCGTCTCGTTACATGTGAGGTTGAAACTAGGATCGTCTGCATAGTAACAATCATGAGAAATGCCAAAAGGGTACTCAACTGTGACGTTCCCACAACTAGTTTTGCAATCGTTGCGAGGTTGCCCGTTGACCAGCTGCGTATACGCAAAGTAGAAGAAAGTAACCACCAGTATCAGACGCTCCACCTTCATCTTCTCCCTCTCTCTTATCTCTCTAAATGTGTGTGTTGAGGTGTTCTCTTTACTTGTTTCACTGTCCCAACCTATCTATACTATTATATAGACTAAGTCAATGTACCAACTCTTTTAGCATCAACAACGTCTTTGTTTTTGTCATTTAGTTTTGTAGGACTCAAAGACCAAGACGTTGGTGGTATTACCAGGAAGATTCATATGTATGGCTCCTCATCATAACACGTTCTTTATTACAAGCATGCCCTTTGCTAAGACACCTACCAAAATATCTCATATATATGTAAAACTACTATAACAGTTTAATATAAGTCTAACATTAGTTAAATTTTCAATTATAAACATTAAACTAATCATTGGTTGACGCATATTGTAAAAGTATTTCTCCTTTTCTTTTTCGGGTTTCTCAAATAAAAAATTCATTTATTTCTCTTCCTATTTTTCCATCACTTCTTTTCCCAACCCCTTTTATTATTATCTACGTACTTTGCATAAAAAATAAAATACCAGCAATGGGATTGCTCTTAGACGTTGTTTTCTGTTGACAATTCTAGTTTTGCTTTGCTACTTGGCTTTTCCCCATTATGGAATATCACATGTAAATATTATCAGTAATTAACTACAAGTTAAGTAACTCTAATTACTATCTTATACTTCAATTACAATGTTTTAATGAAGGAGATCTCCGATCATAGATCTCCAGACTCCAATATGTCTTTGATGTATTTTCATGTGTTTAGAGTTGGATTAGATAGATTTTACATTATGGTAAATTATATCAGTAGTGTTCATCCCATAACATTTAAATGGTGCCATAATCCTTTTAATCATAATTTTAGTAGATCGGAGTTACATAATTCACGTTAAAAGTCAAGACCTTATCTCTATATATCCCACATGAGTCGTGCATGATCTTATCTTTAGAGGGGAAAATCTAAACAGACCATTGGAGGGACCGGACAAACGTTAAAGACGGGGTGACCAGGATGTTGAAGTGAAGTACTGTGTGAGTGTGACATACAAGTGGAGGGGCTGGACAACGTAAGAGCGGGGAGATACCAAAATGATTAAGTGACGTCTCTACTGTTTTGACTTGACTTATGAGATGATAATCCCTGAAAATTTGGGCTTAGGAGAGGATATCCAAGGCCCATTTCAACCCAATTGTTTGATAATTAAATATTCCCAACCTTTTTCTCATTTTCAAAAATGTGCTATATAATAAAATCAAAATTGAAAGGGATAAAAGGGAACCCTAGAAACAAAAACTCAAAAGTAGTCACAATTAATGGCATCTTAAACTATTTAACCAATATTTTAAGGTGATTTGTATTAAAATTACAAAATGCATTATTATTTAACAAATATTTTAAAATCTTATTTAAAATTTACGACTCTGAAATTTATCAAAACATTTTGAGTAGTAAAATTTTAAAAAATCTAAATTTCATGATTTTTCAGATTTAGAATGTTTTATCAAAAAGAGATATTAAACTCTTTAATTTATAGAAAATCATGAAAAAGTCAAATCAAACCACTTCAAAACCCTATACTGTATTCAAAAGAAGTTTTTTTAAATCAAAGCATTATCATAAACTTTGAGTTAGTCTGATGAATGTAATAATTTAAGCTAATTAGTTAAAAACAATCAAGATTTTGAGATAATTCTTTTTTGCGGCCACTTGCCGGATGAAAAGCAAACCCTAGAAACTAGAAAGTATAAAACAAAAGAATACACAAAGCTCACTGAGCAGCGACGATGGCTGAAACTATGAGCCTATCATCCACACTCGATCCTGAATCTCCCTACTACGTGGATGCAGACTATCAACCCAACGAAAATCTACCTATGGTTACACTCAACAAAGCCGAAGACAACTACTTCATCTGGAAAACCCACTTTCTCGAGTTTCTCGAAAGCAAGAACAAAACCGGGTTCTGTCACGGTACTGTCTTGATGCCTGACCCTTCCTCGCCGCTATACCAACCATGGAAAGTGTGTGACGCGAGGGTCAAGATTTGGATGATGAACTCCGTGAGCGAAAACTTTCGAAACTGTGTGCTTTTCGCTGAAACTGCGCATAAAGCATGGGAATATCTCCGTGCGATATTCGTTCCTAACGTTGATCTGAGGATCTACCAGCTTCGTCAGAGAATCGCGACGCTGAGGCAAGGTGGTGACTCCTTGGCGATGTATTATGGGAAACTGAGGAGGGCGTGGGAGGAGCTGTCGGAATATGATCCTTTGGTGGAGTGTGCGTGCGGTGGTTGTCGGTGTGAGATCACGGAACGGGCCAAAGAGGCGAGAGAGAAAGAGAAGGTTACTGCGTTTGTGATGGGGTTGGACAAAGATCTGTGCTATGTGACAACGCATATCATGCTCATGAATCCAAGTCCTTCTCTTGACCGAGCTTACGGTTTGGTTGCCCTAGCTGAATCGGACAAGAAGAGCAGACGTTGAAAGAAACTTGGAAGACACTTCAAGTAGGTTGTTGATCGTCACCTTTTTTATTTTTTTTATTTTTTATGCTACTCTTCTTTAAATCGTGTTTATCATATGGCTACCGGTTAGCATACAAGCTGACATGGTTAAATGTTCTTGAATTTTCATGTTTGGTACTCTAGGTTTTATAATGTTTTAGAGGACAAAAGAGGAGATAACCAATAAAGAAATAACTTCATTTCTCACTAAATAAACAAAGAGACTTAGATGTGATTATTTTTTTCTTGGAACACCACTTGATTTCATTAGAACTTCAATTTATTCGAATACAATATCTAGTGACAATTATCCATCCTTTTTAATAGAAATCATAAACTACAACAACAGAAGATGAAAGGGATAATTTTTCAAAGGAAGATGACAGCGAAAACAAGAAGAATCTTGAATGCGTTGATGACAAAGTCGGACAGCAGAGAGATAGATAGGACAGCCCTCACCAACTGGACTTAGATATGTTTTTGATAGAGTTTTGACTAATAAATATCAGCATTCAGGTTCAGTGTGTAACGTTGCTAAATTCTTGATGCTATCATAGCCAATGGTACTACTACCCCTTGCGCCGATGTGATATGAACACCGACCAAGTGCTCAGTCTCCTCAGGGTATTGATCAGACCACTTATGTTTGTCTTTTGTGACTCTCAAGCCCTCAAGCTCTGAAGCTACTTCCTTCATCTTTGGTCTTTCTTCTCCCATCAGTCTTGTACACTCAACAGCAATTCTTGCAACTTCCTTGATCTCCCTCTTGTTATCCTCGGTCATCACTTTCCCATCAATAACCTCGTATACCCTATTCTCCTTCACGGCAGAAGCAAAGTAACTCACCAGATGTTTTGACTGCAGTGGCTTTTCAAAGCACAATGCCTTTTGACCTGAGAGCAGTTCCATGAGGACGACCCCAAAGCTGTAGACATCACTCTTTTCATTCAACAACCCTGTGTTGTAGTATTCAGGGTCTAAGTAGCCTAGAGTTCCTTGCACCAAGGTTGTGAGCTGCTCTTTGTCCATCGGTATCAGCCTTGAAGCACCAAAGTCAGCTACCTTTGCAGTTAAGTTCTCATCAAGGAGAATATTAGTAGTCTTGATGTCTCGGTGGATGATTGGAATTGAAGCAGATGAGTGAAGATATGCAAGAGTTCCAGCTATCTCCACTGCTATTCTTAGCCGTTGTTCCCATGTTAGAGAAGGACCAAACAAGGAACCGTGCAAGTGATCGGAAAGGGTGCCACTGTTAATGAACTCATAGACCAGAAAGGGAACTTCAGTCTCTAGACAGCACCCCAAGAGCTTCACAACGTTCCTATGGTTGATTTGTGAAAGCACAAGCACTTCGTTGATGAACTGCTCTACTTGGCCTCTATCTCCAAGCCGAGCTTTCTTTATAGCAACTATGGAGTTGTCAGGCAACACCCCTTTGTAGACAGTTCCTTGGCCTCCCTGGCCCAAGATTCTGCTTTCTTCATAACCATTAGTCGCCTCCTTCATGCTTTCTTCAGTGAAGATTTTTATATTAGCATTTGATGTCCCTACTCCTGAGAGTCTCTTTACTAACATGCCGCCACCATTTTGTTGGAAGAATTTTTGCTGGAGCTCAGTTGTCTTCCGTTGCTTCCTTCTCTGTTTCACACAGCTAACAACAAGCATGATGGACAAGAAACCGATGCTTGTTCCTAAACACATCACAAATAGAAAAGAACCAATAGAAAACAAGTGAGGGGAGGGAAAATGATCTATTTCAATCTGAACTGTTCCACTCGTGCGTATTCCATAACTGAAGTTTATAGTAGTGCATATTTTACACTGAAATAAACAAAAGTATAAAATACTACACAATCTTTCAAAATCATGCTTATATATAAACCTTCAAATTTGTTAATCACCTGTTAATTTATCAAAACGACATCATTTTAGATCAATTTTATAAAATTAAAAATTTTAAAATACTACATGAACTTGCGAAATCATACTTATATACATACTAAAAATCAAAGATGTTACCCATCAGTTAATTTATCAAAACAACGTCATTTTGGATAAATTTTGTAAAATTAAAAATTAGGAGGTTCGAACTTTCACACTGGTGGAAAGTAAGAGCATAATAAATGCTACACCAAAGTAATTTTCCTGTATAAACTGTGTAAAAATTAACTTATATAAGTTTTTAATCAAATAAATTTTATCAAACTTTTAGTGTTTTAAATTTATGAAATTAAATCTATAATTATTAATGTTTTAAATTTAGATTTACAAATAATATTTTATACATTAAACTTAATTACTATTAATTTAAATATTCACTTTATACTTGTCCATTAGTGTGAGAATTTGAGCATCCCATAATTTTTTAGTTTTATAGATTTTATCCTAAGTGACATCGTTTTGATAAACTAACAGATGACTAACAATATATATATATATAAGCAAAATTTCGCAAGTTTATCCTAAGAGTTTGCGTAGTATTTTTAAACTAATTTTATAGAAATTATAAAAAATGACATCGTTTTGATAAATTATAAGATGAATAACATTTTTGATGATTAATATATATATATATATAAGAACGATTTCGCAAGTTTTTGTAGTATTTTAAATTTCTAATTTTAGAAAATTTATCCAAAATGATGTCGTTTTGATAAATTAACGGAAGACTAACAAATTTGACTGTTTATATACAAGCACGATTTTGAGAGTTCATGTAGTATTTTTATACTTTATATAGTTTAATGTGGAATATGCACTACTATAAAGTTCGAGAATGAAAAAACACAATGAATAAAATTCATGTAGTATTTTTAAGTTTTTGTTTAGATCTGTATGAAATAAGCGCTAATATAAAGTTTGGAAAAGAAAATGCATATAGTTCAGCTTGAAATAGGATATTTTCCCAGTGAGGGGAGCTAAAAACATCTCTCTTCACGCTCAGTACTACCCCAAAGCTATAAATATGATAGATGATTACATCTTTGAAACAATAAGTCCAGAGGGAAGCTTACCAAGAATAATGGTAGCCCATCCAAAGTCTCTACGCATGCAACTCATAGTGGTGGTATCTAAGCGATAACCAGATCGGCACTTACAATAGAAGCCTCCATCCTTGTTTCTACAGGTGCTAGGATCCGAACAGTTATGTTTATGGATAGTACTATTAGTAGTACACTCATCGATGTCTGGCACAAGTTAAAAAAAAAAAAAAAGAATCAGAGATGTATCAGGAAAACAATGAACTCCCAAAAGATAAAGATGTATCTGGTACCTTTGCAACCATGTTCGTTTGAAAGGTAAGGATTTCCTTCATAACCTTGTAAACATTTGCAGTTATACCCTTTTTTAGGAAGAGAGTTGAAACATTCGCTGTTCTTCATACCGCATATGCTTCTGTTTCCAACTTGGTCGCATGTCTGGTGTCCAATAGACCAATCCAGTAACACAGGGAACTTGGTTACATTCCGTAGATTCTTAAGATCTCCCAGACCATTGAAGTGAAAAGTACCATCTTCGGCGAGAAAGGCATATGTGCAAGGATTAAAGTCATGCACAGAAGTCATGTTCTCCAAACGAAAAGGGCTAGTATGGAATGAATCGCTATCAAACGGGACAGAGACATCTGTCCTGCAGCAACCTGCACCCTTACAGTTTCCATTTACGGTCAATGGAGAGTTACATGTTGACACGCATCCAGTTGAGTAATTTTGCGTTCCAACTGCAGTGCTCAGAAGTGCTAAAGCGTTACAGCCTACTACATTAAACTTGTTTTTGTGGGAGAGAGATAAACTACCCAGCGTGTAGTTGTAGGAAACCACACTACTCAAATCTCCTTGGCTGTTGTAGCAAGCATAGGAAATCTCATCCATGACGCGCAGCTCCCCACTGTGTATCTGAAGAGGAACAGCTATGTTCTTGTGAGATTTGTTGAGTAAGTAATCTCCAGGTTTCTTTCCCATTCAGTAGAGTGTTGGTTGCGTCATAATGATCCCTGGCACTAGTGTCGTCCATCTTCCAAATAGCTGATGAATATACGCAAGCAAAGAATAAATGAGAGCGGCTTTCATCTGTTTTGCCACAGAGAAGACATTCTGAATTGTGATTGGGATTCCAGTTTTTGATTCTGTACCCTGTCATGAGTCTCTTGCAGGTGACCAACCAGACAATGAATGAGTATTTTTGGTGTAGCATGTGAGAACCAGACACCTCTGTGCCACTCCTTCTAGTGTCCATTTAGTAAGTTTGTTGTATACGATGCATAATCTGAATGTTTGTCAGCCTCTATAGCTCTAGAAGACAGAGAGAGAGAGAGAGAGAGAGAGAGAGAGAGAGAGAAGACAGAGCCTCTTTGACACCCTTTGAATGTATTGCTCTGACACCCTTTGGGCAGGTTGCAAATGTCTTTTACTACAATGACTCTTTGACACACGGCATATTGCAACGATTCGGTATTGCAAGGGACATTTTGACTAAATGGCTCCACATGCTGCAAGAAAAGAAAAAGAGTGGTGCAGATGCTAACTTCAAGGGGTGGGTGAAACTAATCTGTGTAACCTCTAATCTCTCTTATTATTTTCTTCTAAACTAAACAATCTTCCTTGCTTCACATGCAGAGAACATGATAAGAAAGTTTGCATCTTGGGTTTGACATCAATTCTCAGTCTTCCTGCTGGTCAATGTCATATGGTTACCGGTTAGCATACAAGCTAACATGGTTAAATGTTCTTGAATTTTCATGTTTGGTACTCTAGGGTTTATAATCTTTTAGAGGACAAAAGAGAAGAGAACCAATAAAGAAATAACTTCAGTTTTTATTTAAATAAACAAAGAGACTTAGATGTGATTTTGATTAATAAATATCAGCGGCCAGCTTCAATGTGCAACCTTGCAACATTCTTCATGCTATCATAGCCAATAGTACTACTTTCCCCTTGTGCTGATATGATTTGAACACCGACCAAGTGCTCAGTCTCCTCAGGGTACTGATCTGACCACTTATGTTTGGCTTTTGTGACTCTCAAGCCTTCAAGCTCTGCAGCTACTTCCTTCATCCTTGGTCTTTCTTCTCCCATTAGTCTTGTACACTCAATAGCAATTCTTGCAACTTCTTTGATCTCCCTTTGGTTATCCTCTGTCATCACTTTCACATCAATAACTTCGTGCAACCTATTCTCTTTCATGGCAGAAGCAAAGTAACTCACCAGATGTTTAGAGTACTGTGGCCTTTCAAAGCACAATGCCTTTTGACCTGAGAGAAGTTCCATGAGAACTACCCCAAAGCTATAAACATCACTTTTTTCGTTAAGCAACCCTGTGTTGTAGTATTCGGGGTCCAAGTAGCCTAGAGTGCCTTGAACCATAGTTGTGAGCTGCTCTTTATCCATTGGTATAAGTCTTGACGCCCCAAAGTCAGCAACCTTTGCAGTTAAGTTTTCATCTAAGAGAATGTTAGCAGTCTTGACATCTCGGTGGATGATTGGAATAGAAGCAGAGGAGTGAAGATAAGCAAGAGTTCCAGCTATCTCCACGGCTATCCTCAGGCGGTGTTCCCATGTAAGAGAAGGACCAACGAAGGAACCGTGCAAATGATCAAAAAGGGTGCCACTGTTAATGAACTCATAGACAAGCAAGGGAACTTCAGTCTCTAGACAGCAGCCCAAGAGCTTGACAACGTTCCTATGGTTGATTTGTGAAAGCACCAGAACTTCGTTGATGAACTGCTCTACTTGGCTGTTGTCTCCAAGGCGAGCTTTCTTTATAGCAACTACGGAGTTGTCAGGCAACACCCCTTTGTAGACTGTTCCTTGGCCTCCCTGTCCAAGGATTCTGCTCTCTTCATAACCATTGGTTGCTGTCTTCATGTCTTCTTCAGTAAAGATTTTTATATTAGCATTTGACGTCCCTCCTCCTGAGAGTCTCTGTATTAACAAGCCGCCACCGTTTTGTATGAAGAATTTTTGTCGGAGCTCACTCTCCTTCTGGTGCTTCATTTTCTGTTGTATGAAGCTAACGACAAGCAGGATGGACAAGAATCCGATGGTTGTTCCTGATCACATCAGACATCGATGATTAGAGTAAGTTTTTTTTGTTCTTTTTCAGTAAAGAAAAAATCCTGGATAAGTGAGGGGACAGGACCGGTCATAAGCTTTGCTTTGGTCCCAAATTTTTTAAAAGTTGATATACAAAGTTCGTATGGTTTTCAAACTGTAAAAGATTATTAAGATTTAGTTTAAAATGTTTATGACCCTTAACGTTGAGGATTAATTTTAGTTTAAAATGTTTGTTGCCCTTTAAAGCTCAAGATTACCCCAAAGCTATAAACATCATAGAGATAATAACATCTGGGAAACTATAAGTGTATAAGTCTGAAGGGAAGCTTACCAAGAAGAATGGTAGCCCATCCAAAGTCTCTACGCATGCAACTCATAGTGGTGGTATCTAAGCGGTAACCAGACTTGCACTTACAATAGAACCCTCCATTCTTGTTTCTACAGGTGCTGGGATCCGAACAGTTATGTTTATGGATAGTACTATTAGTAGTACATTCATTGATGTCTGGCACAAGGGGAAAAAGAGCATAAGGCCAGCTTCAATGCTAATCTTTGACCAAATATCTTAGAAACATTTTTTTAGAAAAACATGAAAGAAAAGGAGAGGCGGTACGTAGCTCTGCAGAGATACTTTGCCTTTAGCATCAGCACCTCTTCTACCATATATATCTAATTCTTATTGGTCAACTAATTTTTTCTGAATAAAGTTATTACAATTTTAGTTTTATGATATAATATACTAGTTTCTAAGCAATGCCCTAAGATTCTAAAAAAATAGATGTATCAGGAAAACAAGTAATTCTCAAAAGAAGATGATAAAAGCAAATGGAAGTATACCTTGGCAGCCGTTTTCAAGGTAAGGATTCCCTTCAAAACCCTCTAAACATTTGCAGTTATACCCTTTCCCACGAGTAGAATTAAAACATATGCTGTTATTCATACTGCATATGCTTGTGTTTCCAGCTTGCTCGCATGTCTGGTTTCCAATAGACCAATCCAGCACCAGAGGGAACTTGCTGACATTCCGTAGGTTCTTAAGATCTTCCAAAGCATTAAAGTTAAAAGTACCATTTTCGGCGAGAAAAGCATAAGTGCAGGGATTAAAGTAATGCACAGAAGTCATGTTCTGCAAACGAAATGGGCGAGTTTGGAATTCCTTGCTATCCAACGGAACAGAGACGCGTGTACTGCAGCATCCTGCACCATTACACCCTCCATTTCCCACCGGCGGAGAGGCACATGCTGAAATGCATCCAGTTGAGTAGTTTTGCGTTCCAAAAGTGCTCAGATATGCGTAAGCGTTACAGCCTACTATAGTAAACTCGTTCTTGCCGGAGAGGGATAAATTACCCAGCGTGTACCTGTAGTAAATACTACCATTCGAATTTCCTTGGCTATCGTAGCAAGAGTAGGAAATATTATTCATTACGCGTAGCTCCCCGCTGTGAGAAATGTTGATGACTTCAAAGTTACGTCCAAATAATAGCTTCTCTTTCTCGTTACAGGTGAGTTTGAAACTAGGATCGTTGGGATAGTAACAACCTGGAGAAGTGCCAAAAGGGTACTCAATTGTGACGTTGCCACATCTAGTTTGGCAATCCCTGAGAGGTTGCCCGTTGACTAGCTGCGTATAAGCAAGGTAGCAAAAAACAGTCACCAAGAACACACCATGCACCTTCATCTCTCTCGAATTGTGTTCCTCTTTTGAGTTTAATTTATCTCATCTGGTTAAGCCTTTTTTTTTAATATATGAAACCCATGTACATATAATGCTTTCTTCACTCATTTTCCTAGAAAATACAAGACTGACCATGTCAAAAAAAAAAAAAAAGACCATGCCAATGTATCACGCAAGAAGAACGTTGAAATATGTTTCATATCCCTACGGTGTCCGTTAGATTCAGGTTAAACAGTGACAACTTCAAGTACCGGTCCACTCCAGTGGCGGTGGCTGACCTAGGATTGTTTTTAACAGGGGTCATTGAGAGATTTATCTCTAATTTAATGGGGTCAAAATGATAATGTCAATTAATAACAAAGTTAATTTTCAAGCAAAATACAATTCGTAATTTGACAATTCTACTAGAAAGAAAAGGATCGTAGTAATATCGAACATGTCCTTTAAGCATATGACCAGTTCTTTCCTCATGTCCCTGTTTACTATTCTTTTTATTTTTTTATCACATTTTTTTTGGATCAAAGTCCCTGTTTACTATTCAAAAAGAACTTTCTTCTAAGCTTTCATACATATGTCCAAGACGGAGCTATTCCAAGAAACCGTGAGAAAAAGTCTATATAGAATCTGAAGATAGGCTTGTTAATTGATGATTTTGGTAGACCATACATAGAGATTTAAAGGGTCTTACTGAGATAATTTTGTCAACTATGTAAAATGAGATCATATTATTTTAACAAAACAAATTAAAAGGTTTGATACGGTCAAGCATGATAACACAACAAGAGCAATTTTCTGCAACAAGAATGATAGGTTAATTTAGAAAAGGCTAATATTAAAATATTAGACGAGTAAAGAAACGTGATGATGAGATAAGGTGTTGATCAAATATGACGTTAGAAGCAAGTGACTCATTTTTTAGTTAAAAACCATCGCACCAAGTAACACACATGAATCATATGGTTGTCATGGTTTATACATGGGGCACATATGTACTTCCCAACAGGTGCATAAACACCAGGTGTTCAAATCAGTATCCAATGCAACGTCATTTTGGACTTCTGTTGCGCCACTCTACTATTGACAATAAGACTTAACAGGTCTCAGGGACAGGTATGATGATTATCCACTCACTGTTTGTTATGTTGGAAAAGACAAACAAATACTGGTGTAATGTTAGGAGACTCTCTAGTTGACATAAATCAAGTAAAGAGTTGGCAAAGCCTTCATTCTCAAATATATTTTGGGTATACTGCAAAAGGAGAGATTTGAATGGATAATGCAGGGTTTTCAAATAGAAAAATGAAACATTTGTTACATTCCGAAAATTGGATTAAGATGTCAGAGATAATAATACTACATCAGAATGATGAAGAAAGTGACCAAGAGGTGCTTATACTAAACAATCCTTCCTTACTACATTCTCAACCTTCATCACTGAATGCAACCACAAATGATCTCTCACATCAAAGTCTCAAGATCATTTCAATCAACAGCAAAGCTTACAATAACACAAAACTAGTCTTCATTTAGCGAAAGCTCTATATACCAATCAAGAAAAAAATCAAAGCTAATACCGTTATAACTCAACACCGAGTTCCCTTTGTTTCAACTCCAATCCCATCCTATCATTCTCAAGTTTCATCCTTTCATTCTCCATCCTCATTCTCTCAAGTTCTTGATCTCTTTTCTTACTAAACCTCTCCCACCTAAATCTCTGTTTCTCCAATTCCAGCAACTCAACTTGAATCTGAAGCTTCTGCTCTTCTAACTGCAGAGTCCGAGACTCAATCCACTGCTTCTGAACAGAAGCTGATCTCCCACTCTCTGCCCCACCTTGAGAAAACGGCATTTGATGAGCCAAAGTGACGTTATTACATTCCACAGGATGGTCAACATCTTCATGACTATGGCTCTGTCTCGCCTTCTTCAAAGGACCACCACCACCACCTCCATAATGAACAACCCTACAATCCCCATGGTCAACATCATCATCATGCTCATGCTCATCACCTTCCCCATCATGATCCTCATCATCAAGATCCTCAACTTGATGCTGATGATCATCTCTGTTTCTAAGCGCCAACTGTAACGAACGCTGCAAAGCAAGGTCATGAGGCAAATGCAACCTATTCCCATTATGGTAAGAACACATCTCTTCATAAAACAACTGCTTAGAACTCATGATTTTTCTAACATCATCCTTCTCTTTATCATTCAAAAACCCAATAGAATCCAAAAGCTTAGGATTCTCAACAACCTGACAAGAGGTTCCCCTCCCAAGCATATCGTTAAGCTTCTTATACCGTTTATTCAAATCATTAAACTTATCCTCACACTGCTGAGGCGACACATGGTAACCTCTCTCAGACATAACTTTGGAAACAGACTTCCACTTTCCCTTTTTCTGTAAAGCAGCAAACTTTCTCCTACTCCCACCTTCCATAGACAAATCATCACCTATATAAGACACAGCGGTTATCAATAACTTCACCATCTTATCAGTCCACTTCACTCTCTGCCATGGAGACCCTTTAGTTGACTTCTCACCACCTTCCCCATTGAAACTTGGTTCCTCTTCGTCACTCACTGAGTTCTGATGATCACAGGCTTGTCCTGAAGCCATAGTAAAGGGAAGACCTTGGAGATGCTGGTTCATGGAATCTGGAGGGTGGACTCTCATGGAGCTTTGAAGATTGAATCCTCCTCCGTAGGAAGAAGCTCCACCTCCTTGAGGAAGCTTCCCATCCATTTACTCACAAACCCACCAACCAAAATCGCTTCCTATGCAAGAAAAAATCATCAGAGAAGATCAGTGAATGGGAAAGAATAAAGCTTTATCACCAGAATGTGGAAATCTCAAGTGATTGTAACAGAAAGGTTGAGACTTTAGTGGTGGGATCAAGCAGAGAGTAGATCAGGATGAAGAATACTAAGCAGGCTAATGTGGGAGATGAGTAAAAGGAGAAAGGAAGTAAACTCACGGACAAAAGTTTCGAACTTGCTTCGTCTTCTCCGGTTATCTTCTCTCTCTGTCGCTGTGGATTGTCAAAAAGCTCTTCTTTTGTGTGAAACTTTATTTTTCTTTTTAGGTCCCAAACTTCTCGCAAATTTACTTTTAGATCCTTATAATTATTATATTATTTTATAATTATAAATGTTACTTTATTGAATGACAAAATGATACCTTGTGATTGGACTCGGTATCTGTATGGTTGAGAATTCCACTATCCTGGCTCATTTAATTGGTGAAATTATTTTATTTTCAATCTTATCAATTCTTTGAATGAACACACAAATTGTCTTTGATACAATACAACTGATCCTCTAATTGATTGTTCATTGTTGGACTGAAATATTATTCCATGATACCAGTTGCACATAAACAATTATTTTAATTTTTTCTAAAAGCTAATCGATTAATAAACTAGTTGAATGATTCTGACCTTTTTTCTTAAAAGAACGACAAATGTTTGTCAGATTTTAAACAGTGGAATCAGACGTTGATTGGACAGAGAGTATAATATATCTGAGGCGGCCAGAAGATTCTCTAATCTGATACGAGGACGCAAGAGGATTTATTCCTTTTTATATTCATATATACATGAAATAAGTTGGAAACAGTGTATGATCTTTACCATTTTGCATATAAATCTTGTGTGGAACCTTAACTTAAAACTATTAATTAAATATTGTTTCTGATTCAACTCCGTACATGATTGGAACAAATTAGTGTATTTGGTTTCAAAAGTTGGAACGGGGAGAGTTAATTATAGTAACAAAAGGAGCCATGCAGAGAGAGGATATAGTTAGTTAGTGAGTATGCAGATTTGAGAAGGCTATTAAACACATTCGCTAAATAGAGTTGAGAAGATGCAACAAGCTTTACCTAAACCATCAATTGGTAGACCAGAAAGTATGGTGTTCTAGAGGTCAAACTACTAACTCTCTTGGTACAAATGAGAAATCGTATTATCTCTGCATAAACAACAACCAGAGTGTGTAACAGTTCAACGGCAGCTAGCATTTCGTATTTTTCAAGAAAGGTTTAGTCACCGTTAATGCTTCAGAGAAGAGGCAAAAATGTTCTTTTCATTCACTCTTCTAAGGAACAAGAAAATTACAGCTAAGAGTAAACTTGCTGCTTATACTTTTACCGAAGACGCTGCACAGTGCAGGAGGTGTAACTTTCCTCAAACATGGAGAAGCAGCATTTGCCATCGTCTAGTGAAGGTGTCCTCTAACATGGAGAGTCGGCATTAGTATAAATAACTAACCTAGCACATTAAACGTTATCATATTGTCATCTTGTTCTCAATGTATAATTATACTTTTTAATGGTGTTTATTAATAAAAAAACTAAAATAATATAAAACACATAAACAAACACAAGATAGTTAAATAATTATATCACTATTATTTTTTATAATATTATATCACTATTATTTTTTATAAACAAAAAAACATGCTTTATTGGAATAAATATATTTTTGAAACTTTTCTAAAAACACAAATAATATAGTTACTTTACACAGAAAGAATTATAGAAAATATTTTATATAATATGAAAATCTATAAAAGTTATGATAAAATCTGAAAATCAGAGTATATTTATTAAAATAATCCACATAATTTTAGTAATATACAAACTTTTAAAATCTACACATATCAATCTTTCAAGATTTTTTTTATATATATTTTCTTTGTTTTTAACTAATGGAAAAGGTCAGGACTCAAAACAAATAAACAACTAACAAGAACGACGGCGTTTAACAATTTACCTAGCCACCACACGCTTCCTCACCTTATATAAAATACACGACAAACAAAAACGCGTTCGTAATTAGGTCTGGGCATTCGGGTATCCGTTCGGATTCGGATCGGGTACATTGGATATCGGTTATTTTTTGTAACACCTCTTAGGTCCCATTTTAGGAAATTCTTAAATTCGGATCGGGATCGGATATAACACATCGGGTTCGGTTCGGGTTCGGATTATACTGAAGTTACCATATATCATTTGGGTTCGGGTTTACTGTATCGGTTTCGGATTAACTAAAGTAAAATTCAAAGAAAACAAATAATCAAACACTTATATGTTACTAGATAAGAACTAAGAAACATGTCTCTCAAAATTAATAAACTCAAACTTAGTAAAATTGTTTGCAACAACACACTAATACCAATAATAGCAACATAAAGTTTTAAAATGGAAAACAAACTGAGAGAAAACCGCAAACAGATTATTGTGATTCATATGACACAGAAGACTCACATTGATTTCTGAAAATCAAGTCCTTACCTCGGATTGAGTTCTTGAAATCAAAGATGGTGGAGGAGATAGAGAGAATTGCGTGTTTGTGTTTCTGAACATACTCTTCGATCAAACACCTTATTTTAATAGGAGATTAGGTTTTTGAAACTAGGAAGAAGAGAAATCGCCCCTAAGGTTATTATGAAAGATGTGGTTGTGTCAAGACTTAGTTGTGTCTTAGAATTGAAAATAACAAGGGGTGGATGTGCCTTCTTGGAAATTGTAAAAATCAAATAATGATTAATACGTGTATATACTTACTGTACATTATACATATAATCGGTTATTTCGGATTTTAGTTCGGATATCGGATTAAACCGAACCCGAACCCGATAACCAAAGTATCAGCATATCAAACCCGATAGGGTATTTTGAAAGATCCATAACCGGTCGGGTTCGGGTTTTTTGGTTCGGGTTCGAATTCGGTTTCGAATTATGGATAATATGCCCAGCCCTATTAGTAACCCTAAAATCTCTAAAACTTGTCTGCAACGAACGAGCGACCGACTTACTCTTCTCCCACAAACACCAAGTCCTAATACTATTTGGAGACTTAGTTTGCTGTTTTCTTAAATCTTCCTTGTTTTGTTTTTGCATAATATGAAGCGAAACCGATCAGAGAAAAAGGTAATCTTCTTCTTATATATTCATCCATCTCTCTCTCCCTCTGTTTGTTTATGATTTGAGAAACTGTTTAAATCTGATACTTTGATTTTTAATCACAGACTTTATTAATATTTGAGTTATATCAATGGATCGGGAGAACACGAGCGCGTGTGGTGGAGACGAAGGTCATCCCTTTGCCTTGTCTTCCAAGGGAGGTGAAAACCCTAAGAATGTGATCACAGGAAAGAAGAAGGGAAAGAAAGTTTGTAAAACGCATAAGGAGGAGAAGGATGATCACGAGATTGATTTTTCTGGTGAAAATAAGTTGAAATCTAAGAATGTAGGTTTTGCAAGCTTTGATCTTCTTGGTGTAGAAGATGACAAGGAAGACTCTGCGGATGATATTAGTGTTGAACTGGGTTTACTTGGAAAACAAGTCACCGAAGAGACTAATACTAAGAGTGAGGATGTTGGAGAAACCTTGAGGAGTAAGAAAAAGAAGAAGAATAAGAGTGGAAAGACTGTACATGAAGAAGAAGATTTGGACAAGATTCTTGCAGAACTTGGGATAACTCCTGTTTCACCAACACAACCTGAGCTAGTTGCAACTGCAGATAGCTCAAAGGATGGAGAAGAAGAGAATGTCTTGTCTTCTTCATCTAAGAAAAAGAAAAAGAAGAAGGATAAGGAAAAGAAAGTGTCTGCTTCTTCTGTGGAGGCTAAGGAGGAGCCATCACAGCACCAGAAGAAAGAAGTATCAGAGAAGAAAGTTCCTAAACACATTCTAGAGATGCAAGAGACTCTTTTGCGGCGGAAAGAAGCCGAAGAGATGAAGAGAAAGGAAGAGGAAGAGAAGTTGAGGAAAGAGGAAGAGGAGCTCCGCAAGCAGGAGGAGCGAGAAAGAGAAGCTGAAGAGATTAAACAGAAGAGAAAGATGAGAGCTAAGGAGAAGCTGCAGAAGAAGAAGCAAGAGGGAGGGATTTTAACAGAGAAGCAAAAGAGAGACAAGGCTTTCAAGAACAAGATGTTGTCTGATGCTGGAATGCTTCTTGCTTCAGATAAACAGGGTGATTCCTCAAAGCGTCCTGTTTATGGCAACAAAAGAAAACCAGCGCGCGCAAAAGCAAACGACTCTGCTTCTGTCCAGCAGGTGAAAGATGAACATGCTGACATGGAGAAGAAACAAGAAGCTGATGATGATGATGAGGAAGAGGAATGGGAAGCAAAAAGTGATGATTCTGTTAATATAATGGGTGATTCTGATGATGGGGATGATGTACTACCCTGGCTTGTGGTTAAGAAAGAGATAAAAGACACTTCTTCAAAGGCAGACAAGCCAAAAAAATCTAGGCCTAATGTTGATGATGATGCTACTAAAAGGGGTAATGACTCAGTAGTTACTGAAGTTGCTAAAAAAAATCTTCGCTCTCCCATTTGCTGCATCATGGGCCATGTTGATACTGGTAAAACCAAGCTCTTGGACTGCATCAGAGGAACAAATGTTCAGGAAGGAGAAGCTGGAGGTATCACTCAGCAGATTGGTGCAACATATTTCCCTGCTGAAAACATCCGTGAGAGGACCAAGGAGTTGAAACCTGATGCAATGCTCAAGGTGCCAGGTTTATTGGTTATTGATACACCTGGACATGAGTCATTCTCAAATCTACGGTCAAGAGGTTCAAGTTTGTGTGACATTGCGATTCTAGTGGTTGACATAATGCATGGTCTAGAGCCACAAACTATAGAGTCTCTTAATCTTTTGAGAAAGAGGAATACAGAGTTCATTGTTGCCTTGAATAAGGTGAGAGTTGTTGTTGTCACTCTGTTGAGATGTGGTTTGTTTTTTCTTTATCTAAAACTGTTAATTTGCAGGTTGATAGGCTATATGGGTGGAAAACATGCAAGAATGCTCCTATAAAGAAGGCTTTGGCGCTGCAATCTAAAGACGTGGTTATTGAATTTAACATGAGGCTCACTCAGGTAATCTTGAAGTTTGATGTAACAACTTAGGGGTGGATAGAGATGTGTATATATGTTATAAACTAAACTTTTTCATTGGTGTTCCAGATTATAACCCAGTTCAAAGAACAAGGACTCAACAGTGAGATTTATTACAAGAACAAAGAAATGGGAGAAACTTTTAGTATTGTGCCTACTAGTGCTATTAGGTATGAAATTTGTTTAGTCTTTCCATTTATAGCTCAACACTGAGGTTAACGAATTGATTTTGAATATTTGATATTTCAGTGGAGAAGGAATTCAAGATATGTTGCTACTGTTGGTTATGTGGGCTCAGAAAACAATGGTTGAGAAACTCACATTTGTTGACAAAGTGCAGGTAACTCTCATTCCTCTTCAGGGAACGCTTCATTATCTGTACTACAACATTCTTATTTTTTTTCTTGAAATGGTTGAACAGTGTACTGTCCTTGAGGTCAAAGTTATTTCAGGCCATGGTACAACAATTGATGTTGTTTTGGTCAACGGTGTACTCCATGAAGGTGATCAAATCGTTGCTTGTGGGTCACAGGTGTGTAGAAACTTTACCTAAAAAGTCATTTTATCATAAAGCTGGAACTTGATGTTATTGTTTTATTTATTTTTTCTACTATCTCAGGGACCAATTATAACAACTGTTAGATCCTTATTAACTCCTCATCCTATGAAAGAGCTACGTGTGAAGGTACATATACATAGCCGTGCCTCTTTTTTTTCTTGTTATTACTAGTGAAACATGGTTTGTGCTAATGAGCTTTATTTTCAGGGTACATATCTGCATCATAAAGAAGTAAAGGCTGCGCAATGTATCAAGATTACTGCTCAGGTAATCATCTCTTACATAACACCATAATCTTAATTACTATCATGCACTGTTCATAATGATTTAAAATTTTGAACACATCCTAAACAAATGCTTCCCACATTTTGTCATTTATAAAAGGGCCTTGAACACGCGGTTGCTGGAACTTCCTTACATGTGATTGGACCTGATGTGGAAATTGAAGAAGCCAAGAAAACGGCCATGGAAGACATGAAGTCAATCATGAGCTGGGTTGACAAAAGTGGTGAAGGAGTTTACGTACAAGCTTCAACACTAGGCTCTCTGGAAGCATTACTAGAGTTCTTGAAGTCACCAGATGTGAAAATACCTGTAAGTGGTATTGGCCTAGGACCTGTGCATAAGAAGGATATCATGAAGGCCGGAGTAATGCTAGAGAAGAAGAAAGAATATGCTACGATTTTGGCTTTTGACGTGAAGATAACTACAGATGCTCGTGAACTAGCTGACAACATGGGAGTGAAGATCTTCTGCGCTGATATTATCTATCATTTGTTTGATCAGTTTAAGGGTTACCTCAAGGATCTTAAAGATGAAGAGAGGAAAGAAACATCATCTGAAGTAGTGTTTCCATGTGTCCTTAAGATTTTGCCAAACCATGTCTTCAAAAGTGGAAACCCAATCATTTTGGGAGTTGAGGTTATCGATGGTATACTTAAGGTACATGTTATGTTCTCATCAGGATATGTTCTTATGTATACACACACACACGTTTTCTCTAAGACCTAACAATGATCTTTCATGGTTTAGGTTGGAACTCCCATGTGCATTCTCAAGGAGATTGAGAAGTCGAGAGTGTTTGTGGATCTTGGTCGCATTGCATCTATTCATAAAGACAGGAAGTCACTTGATTATGCTAAGAAAGGCCAGCAGGTGGCTATTAAGGTATGAGTGACCCGTTAACTTTTTATTTCACAGTTTTTCTGTATTTGAAACTGTAAAAAAAAAAAACAACGTTTATTTCCCTTATCAGATCATTGCCTCTAACCCTGGAGAAGAGAAAATGTTTGGGAACCACTTTGGTATAGAAGACGAGCTCGTCAGTCATATTTCTAGGCAATCCATTGACATACTTAAAACACTCTACAAGGTAAGTTTTAACAAGTCTCTCTTTATTCTCCAGGTTTTTGTCTAAAATGTTGTTTTAAATATTAATTTTATTTATTTGAGCTGAAGCCTGAAACCTCTTTATTACAGGAGGAGTTATCTGATAACGAGTGGAAGCTTGTTTCGAAACTTAAGAGATTGTTCAAGATACAATAGGTTCTTCATACCCTCAGATCCATATTGTTAAACTGGAGATTTTGAGGGAGATTTATTTCCTTTGTTCTTGTAGTCTCATTTGTTGTTTTTGGGGTTTTGATCTTATAGACATTTTATAAATGTCTCTAGATTTATTTCCTTTGTTCTTGTAGTCTCATTTGTTGTTTTTGGGGTTTTGATCTTATAGACATTTTATAAATGTCTCTAGACATTTGTTGTTTCTAACATAGTTATCTTTGGGAATGAACTAAAATTATCTCTTACTGTCTTACATTGCTTTTAAGCACAATAAAAGTAAACTAAAAGAATTTCTTTGCCTATTTTCAAAATCATAAAAAGGGGTTCGAACGCATAACCTTTTTTAAAAAAGATATATCTTTCTTACTAAGGTACCATCACTTTTTACAAAGCTTTGAGGGTTTACACGCAATCTAGCAGGTTACGTTTAGAAATCGGAATAATGCATATCAGATTATATAGAACACGACAATGGTTTCAAAAGTAGCATTGATTTGTCATGACGAGTTTTTTGTGGTCGAAGACGATAAAACTCTTCATATGTTATGGATCTGTTGGTGTTGATATCTTTTCTTCATTTTGTAATGGAATTCATTTGTGTTTCTAGTCTAAATTAGGAGTTTAAAATCGAAAGTAAATTCATCTACGAACTGCATTGTTTTCTTACTCAAGAACATAATGGATCAATATAATTAGTAGGCTCAAGTTTGATTATACTGTTAATTTCGAACGGGTTTTAACTACCAAAACATTTAGCCGTATAATTAGGCAATTTTGGCAGATTTTGTTACGCATTTTCGTGATTTCGCTTGCATCTAATATGATTTTAAATATCTTATTATTTGCTTGTTTCACAAACTTACGATTATCCGATTTTTCGAATAAAATCGGATAACAAAAATGGAAGCAATTTTTTTTCTAATCGTGTGTTGATTAGAGCTGCATGTGACCATGTGTTAAAGACTCAACGTAAGTGTAACACTTATCATTTATTAAGAAAAACGCCACTGGACAGATTTATATAACATATTTGCTTATATAAATCTAAAATTGAAGTCACAAACCCATATATATATTCCAAATTTCCAATGTATCTTCTCATATGAAATATTCTAAAGTTCATATGAAAAAAAAAAACGTAACCGCTTAAATTGTGTTGCATGAAACATGAAGAAGGTTGCGGTCACGTTTGTACAACAACACATACACAAACTATCGCAAACCATGTGATCCAACCAGTCTGGTCACACCAAACGTAACCGCCATAGCTAACCATCCTCCAAGCAGAACCCTAGCCAACGACTTAACCACCGGCGCTTTCCCCAAAACCGCTCCTAACCACCCAAAAATAACCAAAGCCAACGTCACCGCCGCAACAATCACTCCAATCCTCAGTTCATACGTTTTCACAAACGCAGCCGCCAATAAAGGCACAGCCGCTCCTATAGAAAACGCAAAAGAAGACGCAGCAGCCGCTTGCATCGGGCTCGGAAGCTTTTCTTTCTCTACCTCTCCTCCGTTGTCTCTCTTCATTTGAGCCACCTCTATGTCGTACTGAGAGTAAACGGAGACAAACTCTCCGATCGCCATGCTAAGAGCTCCGGCAACTAAACCGGCGAAACCGGTTAGGATCATTGTTTTGACGTCTGGCTTAACCGCACCGACACCCATCATAAGCGAAGCCGTCGAGACAAGACCGTCGTTGGCACCTAGGACGGCAGCTCGTAGCCATTGAGCTCGTTTTGAGTAATCGAAAGCCTTTTCTTGATCTTTCTCCATGTCTACGCTCAAGCTGTTGTTGTTGTGGGACTCCATTGTTAAATCTTTTTGTTTTTTTTTCTCTTTTATGTGTTGTATGTTGAAATGAGAAGATAGAGAATATTTGATGAAGTGTGGAAGACATTTTTACCAAGAAAAAGAAAGAAAGCGTGGAAGACACACGCCTACGTTGGGTTCTATTTATGGAGAGATTTTGTGTGAGATTTCGTCTTTTAACTAGTTTTTGATTTTTGTTCAAAAAAAAAAAAACTAGTTTTTGACTTGTACATTTGTGTTGCCCATGTGGATATTTATTTTTTTCTTTTCTAAAAATAGACCATATATATATATATATATATATCGAGCATAAATATTATTATATTAATATAGAATTAATATTTGTATTGAATATTACTGTGTTTTTTTATTATATATTATTTTATACAATATTGAATGTGCGAACTGTATTATCTTTGACTCAAAACTCCATATCTAAACATGGAGATTTTTAAACTGGAATTTTATCAGAATATAATAATTTGTCTCTTAACTTTTAACTAAAAACATTAAGAATCAGTTCTTAAATAAAATATTTAAGAACCGGTTCTTAACTTTTTTAGTTAAAAGTTAAGAAACAAATTATTATATTCCGTTAAAAAACTTCATCTTAAGAACCTTCCACTAAACATACTCTAAGATCACCTTTAATGGAGATTCATCATTAGAATTCTTAATATATGTGTTATATATATATATATATGCGTAAATAATTGTAAAGTTTACAATTATTGTAGAATTCCATAAATAAGAATTTTAAGAACTGATTCTTAACTTACGCTAAGAATCCATCCTAAGAACTCCATGTTAATCATGGTCTAAAAATTCTTAAAACTTTCTTTTAAGAATCTTTACCTATGTGGTTCTACAAAAATTGCAGACCCTACAATTACCTATATATATATTATATTTATACATTTATATATTAAGAACTCTAATGAAGAAAATTCCGATTGGAGATGCTCTGAGGTGTTTACTCTTCATTTCTTCTTGTACAACCAATTTGCCATATTAGGTTTCTTTTGGTGACTGTATTATCATATTGACTCCATACACCACTTTAAATTTGAAAAATTCTCAATTTAACTTATTTCCGAAAATCAACCAAGAATGAGGAGAAATATTCAAGTTCGTATTAAGTATTAACGTACTAGAAAAAATGCTTGTAGTAGCAATAGCATGTTGCTTATTAAATATTCACTTTGTTTCTAAATAAGTATCATTTTAGCATTTTTTGTTACATAAAAAATGTCACTTTAAAGTTCTACTGCAATTTTAAAATAGATATTAATTACAAATGCATCGATTTTATAAATAATTTTAGTTTCTAAAATCTTATTGGTTGAATATATGTAATTAATAAAAGTATAACGCATTCGAAAAAAAATTTTAATCTATGTAAAAAATGTCAAAATGACACTCTTTATGAAACAGAGAGAATATAATATTTCAATAAAGCAAAATTTAGTTTGACTGGTAGTTAATCAATCCCTGCAAGTAACTGAAAATGAATAAATAAGTTTCTAAACTTTCCAGATTTTCTCATCTTTTAGTAAATAATAATTACTAATGGTAAAATAAATTTCTTCCTTCTTTTTATTCCTAAATTCTCAAATTAATGTAATACCTAATTTTTTAAAATAAGTATTAGTGGTTGGCTGATTAATTTTCGTTTTGTTTTCAGCTTTTTTTCTTACTTCACGAAAGTACTTTTCTATAAAGGGATATAAAACAACTCTATCATTTTCGTTAGTTGAGCATACTTTTGTTCTTCACAAGAAATGAACCCAAAATTAATTAACAAGGGACTCCTCTAAATTCTAATCACACACACAGTAGTTTTTGCTATTTGTAACCATTCATTGAATTTTTCAGTGTCACCAAATGTGATCATATATTTCATATTTGATACGGAAGTGTTTGGTAATTGTAAGCATAATCTATATTTTTGTTCTATATATTTAATATTTTTTTAACTATTCTATATATTTTAACAAAAGACGGATTCATAAGGAATTTAGTATATGGGGTATAGAATAGGTCAAATGGATTATATATACTGCACCACTACTGATAGACGGACACAAAGCTGTTTGGTTCGCAGGTGCTACTCCGAAATTCTCCTTTATTGTTTGGACTGCGGTTCTAAATAGGCTTGCAACAGGTGATAGGATTCTTCGCTGGAACTCTCAAGCTATTGCTACGTGTTGGCTCTGCAATAGGATAACTGAGACTAGAGACCATTTGTTTTTTGACTGTCTCTACTCTAAAGAAGTCTGGAAAGGTGTCATTGGTAATATTGCAGGCTCTAGAAATGTCAATCAATGGTCTCAGTTGTTTCCGATCTTGGTTAAGGGTCTTCATGATAGGGATTTGACCTTCCTTCTCAGATATTGTTTCCAGGTTGTTGTTTATGCCTTATGGCACGAGAGGAATGTCCGCAGGATTGGTGATCCCTCTCTACCAGCTAGGTGCTTAATTACTCGTTTGGATAAAGTGATTAGGAACAGAATTACCTCCTTACAAAAGATGCCTGGGAGGAAGTTTGAGAGGACTATGGCAATTTGGTTTGAGAGACGATAGGGTTGGTTTCTATTTGCGTTTGGCTGGGAGCTTGGGGTTGGTCGGTTTTTTGGACGATTGGAAGTCTGGTTGAGGTCTGTGCGTGTTTGATCTTTTGGGTTTATCTTCTCCTCTATACACCCTTCTGATCATAATGATGATTACTCTTTTTCCTTGCTAAAGGTTTGTCCCATTTTGGGTTTACTTTGGCAAGGTTTTAATGAGGATTGTCTTATGATCCTTCCAAAATATTTTACTTGTTTCACATGGTAAAATTTGAGGAGGGGTGTTAAGATGGTTTCTTTTTTCTTCTTGGCTTTTTTGGTTTTCTTTTATTCTGTGAGCAGCTTGTTTTGCTCTTTCTATTATGGAGGCACTTTTGTGTAACAAGGTTTTTTTTGTTTGAATAAATTTAAAATTCTTTCAAAAAAAAAAAAAAAAAAGATAGACGGACACATAATGGACAAATTAGATATTAAAATTAAACAATATAATCCAACTAGCTTATATATGAAGAGGATCAAATTTGTATCAGATGCTTTTCACACAATAGATTGTTCGACCCATCAATTAGAGCCGTCTGAAGTGAAAACTATAAACAACATATAGTAGATAAAATGAGTATGTAGTGTTCCAAAAGAGATAAATGAGTATATAAAAGTTGAGTTAATATGTAATAAATAAATAAAAATAGTTGCCCTGCTGAATTGGATAGCAGTAAAGCAATAAGTCACAGCACACTAGCACAGGGAGATAAAACAATGGAAAGAGTTGCATATAATGTAAAGAAAGAGGGACGAGTGTGGTTGCCACACGACGAGCATCACACTTCACCATCATCACTTGTTAAACAAAGATATGCAAATCTACGTATTATGTTTCTTCGTATTTATGAATGCATACGTAGTCGCCTATGTATACCAGCACCTTTTTTTTGTCATCTCATTATTAATTTTGTACCGCCTATAACATATACGTGGTTGGGCCAATTGGCTTTGGATTTTGTTTGTTATACAAATGAGCTTGCATGTTCTTGAATCGGTTGGGCACTTGGCGCTCCTGAAAGATCACTCGAGATATCATATGGGCAGAGCAGTACCGGCCCTGAGGGGAAGCATTACAAGCAACCGCTTCCGGCCCTCAAAAAATATTTGAAAAATTCAGCCTTTTTATAAGAAAATTATTATTATAGTATATAAACGTTCTTATAAAAATGGCCAATTTTTTGAAAATTGCTTCTAGTCTTTCTCATGTCAGGACCGGTACTGGGGCAGAGATTTGATATAAAATTTCAATTACAATTTAATTGTTCAAATCTCAGAATAAATATAGAGTATAAGCTTAACTGGGCGGCCAAACACAAATGAGCTTGCTATATGGGATGAACTTAGTAAGCTTGCTACATTAACAGAGTATTTGACTATATAGCCAGTCTTCAAGGGTTGAGTTGAGCCATTTGGAATGAGCAATAATTGTCACCTCCCTTTATAGTACTACTTTATATTCCTCAAAATAAAATAAACTCTTATTAAAAACTAAAAATACTTATAAACTTGGAGTGTTTGAGTTGACAAGTCTTGAATATAGGCTATGGAATTTGATACAAGTATTCTTATTTGGTAAAATCTCGGCTTGCCATGTGCCATCATGACTCTCTCTAGTGTTGACCGACACATTTGCGCAGTCAAAACGGAAACACCCAGGAACATCTCCCAACGATAAGTTTATCTGAACTAATTAACAAAACATTTACATAATTAAAGACATCTTTAATTCTCTATATCAGCAGGAAATTGTTTTTTTTACTGAAAAGTCTATGATAGGCACTAAAATGAGAAGTTATTTCTTTTGAATCTTCCAATGGACCGGCATGCCAACAATATATTGAAACATTTTTTATAAAAAATTTGTGAAACAAAAGAAAATTTGACAAAGGGAGAAGATCAGAGAAAGTATATTACTAGTACCTAAGAAGAACTGATCTTTCACTTATTTTCATTCCACAGTCGTCGTGACAAAGTCGTTGCTATATGCATCGTTGTAGTATTATAATTTATTGATACGATTATCATGTCTACCTTTGCACACAAAAAAAAAAAAGATTATCATGTCTACCAAACTGAATAAATACATAAACAACAACAACAAAAAACAAATGATTTAGCGTCATTATTGTTTTTTAATAAATCGTTTTGTGGACTGTGACCATAAAGATATAGTTTTCTAATTTATAAATTGTCCCCTACGTATATAGTGGTGAAATTAGAATGAATCAATGCTTTGAACTTTGACTAAATCCACTGTCTTAAACAGCAGCCACAAGTAGTTCTTACTTTTCTGCGGTACATTAACATACAGACTATTCAGCGCCCAAGATGGACCGGCACGCCACCAACAATATATTAAAATGAAACTAAACAACGAGAAAAATATCCAAACTCTTACCTATATAAAGAGAAACGAAGTTGCATCAGAAACATACTAAACTATCATCCAAACACACATAGACTCTCTTGCTTCTGATCAGTGTGGTGTGCAGTATCTTGAAAGATAAAGAAAAATATGGGATTCCCTTATGAAGAAACCTTGAGCTCTAACCCTAAAACCCAAACTATTGTTGATGATGATAATGAGTTGGGTTTGATGGCTGTGAGACTAGCCAATGCCGCAGCCTTTCCCATGGTTCTCAAAGCCTCCCTCGAGCTCGGTGTCTTTGACACTCTTTACGCCGAAGCTGCTCGTTCCGACACCTTCCTCTCACCATCTGAGATAGCGAGCAGGCTACCAACTACACCACGTAACCCTGAGGCTCCGGTTTTGTTGGACCGGATGCTTCGTCTACTCGCTAGCTACTCCATGGTCAAATGCGATAAGGCTGGGAAGGAAGAGAGAGCCTATAGAGCTGAGCCAATTTGTAGATTTTTCTTGAAGGATAATATTCAAGATATAGGTTCCCTTGCTTCTCAAGTCATTGTCAATTTTGACAGTGTCTTCCTCAATACATGGTAATTTTCAAAAATTTATTTTCATCACTTTTGGAATCTTTATTAACACGGTAATGAAATCTTACTATATTAATACGTGAATTATAGGGCACAACTGAAAGATGTGGTACTTGAAGGAGGAGACGCATTTGGCCGTGCACATGGTGGCATGAAACTCTTTGACTATATGGGAACTGATGAGAGATTCAGCAAGCTCTTTAACCAGACCGGGTTCACCATCGCTGTGGTGAAGAAGGCTCTTGAAGTTTATCAAGGCTTTAAAGATGTGGATGTGTTGGTTGATGTTGGAGGTGGAGTTGGAAACACTCTTGGTGTTGTTACTTCTAAGTATCCTAATATTAAGGGTATTAACTTTGATCTGATCTGTGCCTTGGCACAAGCACCTTCTTACCCTGGTGTGGAACATGTAGCGGGAGATATGTTTGTGGATGTTCCAAAGGGAGATGCCATGATCTTGAAAGTAAGCTCATTAGTTCATATCATTTATATTTCTTGAAACTTTATGTATACTTTTTTTTTTTTTTTTTACTTACATATGGGAGTAACTTTGTTTTAACAGCGTATACTTCATGATTGGACCGACGAAGACTGCATTAAGATTCTCAAGAACTGTTGGAAATCACTACCAGAGAACGGTAAAGTTGTTGTCATTGAACTAGTCACTCCTGATGATGCAGAGAATGGGGATATCAACGCGAACATTGCATTTGATATGGATATGTTGATGTTCACCCAATGTTCTGGTGGAAAAGAAAGGTCACGAGCCGAGTTTGAAGCTTTGGCTGTAGCTTCTGGCTTTACCCAATGCAAATTCGTTTGCCAGGCTTATCACTGCTGGATTATCGAGTTTTGTAAAGAAAATGTGTAAAATACAAAACTAAAACGTTTCATCTTCGTTTCAGTTCTTTGTTTGTGATGATCATACTTTGTATGTATGTGTGTTCGAGCAATATGAAACAAAAAAAATAAGCTTTTTGATTATTTTCTTCATTGTACTCTTCAAGAATCTGCTTTTATCTAATTAACCACATTGAATTCTTTGTCCAAAAAAAGCCACATTGAATTCTTTTTAAAGAGCTCAGAAGACACACAAGTCTATTTATCTAATCTACTGTTTTCTTCTTTTTTGTATTGCAAAAACATGATAGAAATTTTTTTGCTTTAATTAACTTAGTGGTTGCTTTAAATTTCATCACCACAGGTCCACAATCATTATAACAAAATATGGCTTACTTAAGAACATGATATGGATCATATGTACTTGCAGCATGACATAAAATTAAACGATATAACTTTTTTAATTTTAGAAGCTTAAATATAAGGTAAACCTATATTAATAATATTACTAATAGAAGTCAATAAAATGATATAATTGTAAATGTGACAACTTCACATCAATTTAGAATATACAAAAATTTGTATTAACATTTATATTGTTTTTGATATTCATATAAATATTAAATATTTAACTAAGAACAAAATTTGTAATACAAAATTAATCTTATACTATTGATTAAATTGTGTACACAACTAAATTATGCCTAAATAAGTAATACTGATTAACACCCCAGATTAAATATATAATTTATATCCAAGTAATTAAATAATTATAATACAATCTATTCAAACTTACCATTTTATGTATATTTTCAGGAAAATAATATTCCTTCCATCCACACAACCCAAATATGATAATTTCTCTTTTATTTATTTTTTATTTTTAATAACTATGAGATACATATGTAAAGATGATTAATATAATCTATCATAAACGTTAATGTTATTCTTCAATTACTTTTTTTTTTAATTCTTCAATTACTTTCCAACCAAGTTTTTTGTTTTTTGGGTCATGCCAATAAATGAGTTTTTGAATCCAAATTTTAAAACAATTACTCCCTCCGTTTCATATTAAGTGTCGTTGTAGAGAATTTTTCGCGTTACAAAATAAGTGTCGTTTTCGGTTTTCAATGCAAAATTTATTAATTTTATTACATAATTTGTTTTTCTATTGGTTAAAATATGGTTAGGTGTATAGGTAATTGTGTTTTTATATAGGAAATATGTAAAATTAATTATTTTATTAATCTGTGTGTACAGCTGTAGAGTGACACTTATTATAAAACAGAGGGAGTAGTTTTCATGGAAAATATTGTAAAAGAAACAAAAATAAAATAAAATAAAATAAACTACTATTTTGAAAGAAACAAAAATAAAATAGTCTAAATTTAAAATATCTAAAAGATGAATAAGTTCTAACAACTCATTGCATCACCTACCACCTTATGGTATCAACCACGTGAAAAGAAAGTCAATGTCGCTTGGGAACTTACCAACTTAATTTGTAAGAATTTTAGTTTCGTTATCGTCGTTGGTTTAATTGACCAACTAGATTTCGATCAATGCAGTTGCACGAAATTATTTATATTTATAATTTATTCTTTATTATTTAATGATATTTTTTGTTTTATTTGATGATAGTAATAGTTTAATTATTGATAAATTTTAGTTTAGTTTGGTTTTTGTTATTTTGATATTTGGTGGTCAAATAACAGTGTTATAGTTTTAAGTTGGTCTAATTTAAGTATATCAATTATCATATAAAATATTATGGCATATCTATACTATTAATAAAATCACTCTTAATCATTAGGTTTTTTGTATTATTAAATCAGAATATTTTTAACTATTACATTAGAATATAACCCATATTGAAACGCATATTATGTTTCATTTCAAAATCAACAAAACACATATTAATTCATTTAATCTACTAAATAAATTTTTTGGTTATTCAGACTTGTGCTGTTAATATATATGCTTTGATGAAAAACCGATTTTATTTATTTCTTTGCATCAAAAATTATTAGTTATGTTATTTAATGTTAGTGCTTTAGGTAGTGTGTTTTTAAAAGAATGTTTTAACTTAAAATATTAGATATATTATTATTTGAAAATTATGCTTTTCTAAATATTGTACAACTTATAATTAACTAACATAATATAGTTTAGTCATTCAGTATTTAGAACAAAACTTATTATATTAAAATAGTCAAATATAATAAAATGAAGAGAGAATTAATACTTTAGTGAGTATGTTTTGTGGTTATAGAGTATAATTACATACAGTCAATAAGATTATGTATAATTATTTTTATACTCTCTCCATTTCAAAAGATACATGTTTTAAAATATACACTTTTTGTATTTCTGACACATGTTTTATCAGGTACTAATGAATATTTTTTTAAAAAATAATTGTATTTACTAAATCCTTATTGGTTTAGAATTATGAGAAGTATATAATTATAAATTATGCATTTATAGGTGAATTTACTGTATTTTATTAATATGTATGTTCTAAAATATACTTTATTTTGAAGCATAAGGAGTATATGTTATCGATTATATCTTTTGAGCAAAATATATTTTAAATAATATATGATGGATATTGTATTTATTGGCCTGATTAGAATAACTTTTAATAATTAATTAGCGTAAATGTTTATCAAATTTAATATTTATTTTTAATTGTAAAAATTATTTCTTAAAATATATGATTGGTAATATAAAAAAAAATGACGATTTTTATTTCCTATATATGAGGAATATTTACATGATTTAATATTTAAAACTTTTTAATTAAGATAGAATATCTTAGTTTAATACTATTTCTTCAAACTGCTAGCGTATTGGTTATATAACTTATATTACTAATATTACAGAATCTTTTAAATTTAAATGTGTGATATATGATTACACATAGATTATACTATTCCAGACTTATATTATTATGAAAAATAAAATTAAAACATATAATTTAATTGGTTAACACATGAAATACAAACAAAACGTTCAATCAATAAACTGAATTTTTGGATGTTGGAATATATAGTTAGGCCTAATTTAAATATAAGATGGGTGAATGATTTGCAATGAACTGGTGAAATATAAAGTTTGTATTAGATAACCATAAAAAAATTAACAAAAGTTGCAAATAATGCAGTTACAAAAGAAAGAAAAATGAGTTATAAATAATGTTATAATTATAAGTTGGTTTAGTGTAGATATATTAGTTACCCTATAAATTTGTATATAAAATATGTTTTTATATTTAATCACGATATGTTCAATAGACCCAAATTTAAAACATGCCAAAATAAATTTTAAATAGGATTTTAATTTAATAGATTAGATATGGTGGTTCCAATATAATATCAGATCCAAATTTAAAACATGCCAAAATAAATTTTAAATAGAATTCTAATTTAATAGATTAGATATCAGTTACCCTATAGAATTGTATATAAAATGTGTTTTTAATAGTTAGTCACAATATGTTCATTAATTAGGCTCAAATTTGAAACATGCTAAAGTAAATTTTAAATATGATTCTAATTTAATAGATTAGATATGGTGGTTCCAATATAATATTAGGTCTAAATTTAAATCATGCTAAAATAAATTTTAAATATAATTTTAATTTAATAGATTAGATATGATGGTTCTAATATAATATCTGCTGATTCTGATTGAGTCCACTATGTTGTGATTAAGGAAGTTTTGTAGTACAGAATTTGTGACCTTCCTGGAAAGACAGACAATTCAAGATGGAGCTATGCATCTTGGACACTTTAACAACTTCTGATGTTACACTAACTGTTGTCCAGATAATTTCCCCATTCCTTAGTCACAGTCGTCCTGCTCAAATTGGCGTTATGCATCTCTGGGTATTATAATATGGTTTTTTATATTGAGTATTATATGTTAGTCAAATTGAAGAACAAAATACAAAACTAAACAAATATTTCCCTAATTTTTTTTTTTTTTTTGTAAAATACTTATATTGTCACTAACGTAAAACAATACTTATCTAACTATTTCAGCCGCCAAAACTGGCTCTTACTTTTCTACATAGAGACTACGACTAGTCAGCCAGCCAGATGGACCTGCAAGAAGAAAATATAATTAAATGGAAATATTATAAGATAAAAATTAAATAAATAAAAAGGAGGCTAAGCTTAAGCTATAAGAAGTAGGATCCAAGATCCATTAGCATCATCATCTGCAACACTACATAGAAGACCATACACACAAACTCCCTTTGTTTCCCCTCTTCTGATCAGTGTGATCACTACGGTACCTTCAAGAAGAAGAAAGAAAGAGAATAAAGGAAAAAAAATGGGAATCCTTATTGAAGAAACCTTAAGCTCTAACACCAAAAGCCAAATTGTTATTGATGATGATAATGAGTTGGGTTTAATGGCCGTGAGACTAGCCAATGCTGCTGCCTTTCCTATGGTTCTCAAAGCTGCCCTTGAGCTCGGTGTCTTTGACACTCTCTACGCCGCCTCTGTCTTCCTCTCACCTTCCGAGATAGCAAGTAGGCTACCAACTACACCTCGTAACCCTGAGGCTCCGGCTTTGTTGGACAGGATGCTTCGTCTACTAGCTAGCTACTCCATGGTCAAGTGTGGTACGGTCCAAGCTGGAAAGGGCCAGAGAGTTTACAAAGCCGAGCCAATATGCAGGTTTTTCTTGAAAAATAACATTCAAGATATTGGATCCTTAGCTTCTCAAGTCATTGTCAATTTCGACAGTGTCTTCCTCAACACCTGGTAATTTTCTATTCAATGATAAATATTTATCTAACAACAATAAAAAGAGCACAATGAATCTTATGCTGTTGATATGCTATATTCGCAGGGCACAACTGAAAGATGTTGTACTTGAAGGAGGAGATGCATTTGGCCGTGCACATGGTGGCATGAAACTCTTCGACTATATGGGAACTGATGAGAGATTCAGCAAGCTCTTTAACCAGACAGGATTCACCATTGCTGTCGTGAAGAAGGCTCTTGAAGTTTACCA